CGCCAGAGGCTGAAAGCACTAGGATCACTGGATCTTGCACTGGAACCTCCAGAACCGTGGGTCAGAATAAGTCTTTTTGTTTATAAATTAATGTCCAGAGGTAGTTTGTTATAATGATAATAAGCATCTATACAAGTAACTAATAAGCATCTATACAAGTAACTATTATGAACAAGTCACCGATCTGTGGACATAAATGTCTATCTCCAAATTAGTCCTCTGACTTCACCTTAGAGACCCTTAGACCTTGGAAATTTATCTTCATCGATATTACTTCAGCCTACCATCAAGGTCAGAGAAAGAACATGGGTACTTTCTCCCGAGGCTTGTACTGCTATTTAAGTACAGTAATTTTAAATTATATATTATTATTTTGAGCTAAAAGGATTTTTGGAGGTTTTCTTGGTGCACATCATCAAATTATATGAGGGGAAACTGAGGTCTAAAGGAAATGCTCAAAATTCCCCCTTGGCAGAATGAAAGCCAAGTCTTTTAATTGTACCATATAGCCTGACACAATAGTTTATGAAAGAAATTATTAGCCATAATTAAAGCATATCTTTTGTGTTAAAGTCGAGGACACAAATACAATAATTACCATTAATTACTAACTCGTTCTTATATAGCAGGAACTATACTAGACATGTATAAATTATATAATTTAATCCTTTCCTTATCTCATTTTGCAGATCAGGAAGTTGAGGCCTGAAGAGTTTATAGTAATTAATTTCCAGTTACGTAGCTAGCTGGTAAGTGACAGGGCAGCAGTTCAAACCTTTTTTCTTTAAAACCTGATCTCTCTTCACTTCCCTTATCACCTCTAATGAGTGCTTTTGTTTAAGCCACAGAGATTGCAAATGAAAATAGCATAAATTATTTAGGATTTACTGGGACAAGGGATTGAGAAGAGGGAAGTATGACTTCAACTGTCAGTCATCAAAGCCCTGCATTCCCTGGCTCTGTCTCTCCTGACCTGTGCTGAGATCTCGGGTCAGCTTCACATGAACCTTGTCCCCATTCACCTCGGAAAGGGAAAAGGTGAGACCAAATCTTCTATTGAACAAACCTCCTAACCCCTGGGACTTTGCACAAATGCCTGCGTGCTCCATCTACAAAGTATGAAACTGACCCTGACATTTCATTCCTAGAGCTTAGCGCTGTGTATACAAGGGAGGGAAAGGAGTGTTTCTTATGGAAGGAAAAACACGACTGTTAGAAAAAGAAGGAAAGAATGGATCTTTTATAAGCAACCAATAAATCTACCAGCTCCATATCCATTTCCATGTATTTAATCAGTATGTCTAGAGATACAGAACGGGTAGCATAGACTTTGGTAGTTGTGTTCATAACTGCTTGCTAGAGGGTGATTAAGGAAGAACATTATGCATCTCCACCTTAATGCAGCACTTTTAGAAACCCCCCTGCACATCTGGGCGTTATTCAGTGAATACATACTACCCTGTCTGGGCAGGGCCTTCCCAGAGTTACTGATTCTACACACTCCAGGAAGAAAGAGGAGACACTAATGGTAACACAGTCCTCATCTTTATAGCCCAGATTCAAAACTCGCCTCACTGTCCAGCCCTAGACCTCTTCCTCTTCCCTTTAACAGCATCCTCACCACGCGCTCGCTGTACAGCTGGCCATGTATCTAGCTCCTCCGCTAACTCCTTCCGAGGGCAGGACTATCTTTACCTAACCTCAGCCCTCAGCCTGCAGAAGCAACTCACCCCCAGCAAGAGAATGGGTGCCACCAGTGGGTCAGTGCCAGCTCTGACAGGAGGCCTGGATTGGACACTGTGCTGGTCATTTACCTCCTCTTGTTCCCCCCTTCAGCTAAAGGGGGGCATCATGACAAATCTGCCTCAGAGATTTTTTTTTAAAAATGCATCATGTAATGTAGAATGATGAAAACGCTGTCTTTCTGTATTTGTTTGGTTCTAAGATGCACAGCACTGAAACAAGTCGATGCTAAAATCTGTATACAAGGTTCATTGTAATTTAATTGGTAGTCGGTTTTTTTCTGTCCTAGTAGGACTTAAAATAGTGATATATTTCTCAATCTAAAATGTCTGATTTTCAATAAAATATATTGTAGAAATCCAGTATTCTGCTTGTGACAAGTGTCCCCAAACTGTATTAAGTGCTCCATTTGTCAATCTCAAGAGATTCCCTTGTAGCCCTTCTGGCATCCTGGATCCCTTTATTACCTTCCTACCCATCTTACCTGGATACAAATGTACACTTGCGTTTACAGTGTTTGAATTTAAAAGGTTTATATTTTGACTTTCACATACACTAGTTACAATACTGTATTTAGTATCATGCTTAATTTTATTGCCTTTACTTTGCCTTCCTATATAATAAGCTTTGAGTTAGGGGAAGACTCTTGTAGTGTTTGAGAAGAACAGTTTCAGTTCTAGATCCATTTCCCCAGTAACTATCTACACGTCTAATCTGCCTGTCATCTACAAAAAAGGGGTGCGAATATTTTCCTCATAGTTATGCAGAAGGCTATGAGATGGTGGAGGGGGAGTTCTCTTAAAATGGCTTTTTTCTGGACGCTGATGAACAGGTAGATCTCTGTTTCCCTCCATAGTTTTGCCAACCCTGGCCAGCTTCCAAAGATAATACTTCAGAAGAAAGAATGTCTTTTAAGGTACATTTGATTACTTCCTATATTCATTCCCATGATGGCTGGGATGATTTGTGTTCTCCAAATATCTACAGCCAGGGAAACAAAGTGGCCCATTGTTGCATTTGCCTGCATCCAGTTTCCAGCAAGGAGGTGAACGTCGTGGCTTTAAATGCCGGTGCCCCCGACTTTGCCCCATCCTGCAGCAATTGGTGCTTTTGCCAGGGCCTGCTGAAGGGCTTATCTTGATGCTTTCAAGACAGCACAAGCTCAAGCTTGAGACTGCGTTTCTTCAGTGCTTCTTACCAGACACAAGTTCCTTTTTATGTTTGCTTTAAGGTAATAATCATTTATTTGTAGCTTTCTTCCTCTTTTAAATTTTGTGCTTTCCCCTACAGTGCACATTAGTAAGACTGTCTTTGATTTTTACTTGGTGTTAGGCAAGTGGGGTGGACACTACAGTATACTACATAGCACCTAGTTTGTGCTCAATCTACAGTTGTCACTGTTTTTATAGGCATCTCATGGCAATCTGATTATCGTTCAATATTTAAGAGATGGACACTCAGACCAGGTATTAGAGATCACAGAATCAAAATGGGCACTAAATCTTGTCTGATTTTAAAAACCAGGACTCCTGAGCACAAACTCCAAACGTTTTGTTTTTGATTTTTTTAATCTATGTTTTGTCTAACTATTAAAGAAACAAAACAAGAAAGAGCCAGGTGTAATGGTGCATGCCTGTAATCCTAGCACTCTGGGAAGCTATGCATGTGGATTGCAAGTTCAAGCCCAGTCTGGGCAACTCAGTGACATAGAGGCAGCCTGTCTTTAAGTAACTAATTAAATAGGTCTGGGGATGCATCTAAGAGTGAAGACCTTGGATATAATTCCCATTATGAAACAAGGTGAGAGGTTAAAAAATGCACATATATATATATATATATATATATATATATATATATATATGGTATTTGAGTAGGCATTTGGCATTATATTTTTGCTCTCATAAACTAGAGCTCACCTTCTCCTTTCTGTCATCACTTCATGCTATTTTTTTTTTTTTCTGAAAATGAACTTGCCAGTGGGTCATTTTTCCTTACATCTTTCTGGAACTATTTCAGATTCTTATGGAGTTACCGAATAAGTATCTGCTTAAAGGCATTCCATGAACCAGACAGCCTAGGAGAAGGTGTGGAGGATAAATTACATGACTGAGTTAGTACAAAGCTGCTAATAAAACTTATAACATGGGTAAAAAGCAAAGGATGTAATTTGCTGGCAGGTTATTTAGTTCCAGCTGTCAAGAACTAAATTTCTTTAAACTGAAACAGGAAGAGAGATTTAGCCAAAGAGAAAAACAGAAAAGCTTTCCAGTTCTGAAAATTTATTTGTATGACCTCACAAACAAGAATTTCTTTTTGAGATTTGAGAATTTGGGCAATAAGGTAAACACTAGATTCTATGCTGCTCAGTCTGTATCTGTGATTAGTTTACAAGATATAATTCTTCTAAAGTAGTAAATCTCTTTCATTTCACACCATGTTTATTTTTTATATTTGGTTGCTATATTGTTTTACTATTTCTGCTTCTCATTTTTACTTTAGTTACTTTTTTAATGAGTAAGAAAAATCCCTCCATGGGAAGTCTTTGTATGAGAAAGGAAGGAAATTAATCTGTGAACTCAGTTGGATTTCTTAGGTTCACAAATGCAGAAAACAAAAAATTGTATCAGTTTAAATGACTGCAAAATACACACACATAAACAAAACTTCTGGGATACACATTGGTGAGCAAAACGTGAGGTGCAAAAAAAAAAAAAAAAAAAAAAAAAAAAACAAAAAAAAAAACAACCCAATACATTTGGAGAAAAGGGGATGTCTATTAAAAGTTAGGCATGCACTTTATTAAAGTCGTAGTTATTTCTAAGGATAGAACACGCTGTCTTTTGGGCAACTGCCTTTAAAAGCAAGCAGAACTTCGTTTAGATTTTATTTATCCTCTTCTCATGCATTAAGACCTCTTAAATGAAGCCAAGTGCCTGGAGCAGAAACGTCTTCCTCGAGGATGCTGCAGGAAGAGAGGAGGAAGGAGCAGGTCTTCTGGCCTGGTGTCCCGGAGTCTGGGCGGGTTGGAGAGCTGGGCTTCCCGGCGAGGTCGGCGCGGTGCGCGTCCCGGACGTGGGGTGAACCTGTGCGCTGGCCAGCCCGTCCGCAGCGCGGGGAGGAGGCCGCGCCGAGCACCTGCTTCTCCGCGCTGCGGCGGGCGGGCCCGGGCCACCTGCAGGGCGGCGGGGAGCGGGGACCGCGACGGGAGGGGCGGGGGGGGGAGGAGCGGGGCGGCGCGGGGGGCGGGCAGCTCGGGAGAGCGGCGCCGGCCCGGCCCGCCGGGTCTGTGCTGCGCCCCGCCGCCGAGCGCGGACCATGTGGCACCTGTGGCTGGCGCTGTGCGCGCTGGCGCGGCTGTGGCTCGGGGTCCTGGCGGGCTGCGCCGAGGCCGGGCGCTGCTGCCCGGGCCGGGACTCCGCCTGCTCCGTCCGCGGCTGGAGGTTGGACCGAGTCTACGGGACGTGCTTCTGCGACCAAGCCTGCCGCCTCACTGGGGACTGCTGCTTCGACTACGACAGGGCGTGTCCAGGTGGGTGCCCGGGCCGGGTGCGGCGCCAGCTGGCCAGGGCAGGTAGGACGTGGGGCCCAAGACCCCAGCCCGGAGACAGGTGTCCCCAGCCCCTTCCGTTGTGGAGTGCTCAGTCCTTCTGTCCAGGCATTGCATCCGGTACACCCTGACGTGGCCCAGTCCTCTCCATCTAGATAACGCCAGTGCCCAGGCAGTGCCCCCTTCCCACCAGAGCCCAGGCAGAGGAGGCTGAGGCTGCTGCTCTCCGGAAGGGTGTGGGGCCGCCTCTGCGGGAGGAACTCCTGCTGAGTAGGGCGCAAGTGGCCTGGACTGGAGGCACTGACCGGGTCCAGGGCAAGACCTGGGCCAGACCAGGGTTCATTCTGTCAACTCTCGGGATTCTTGAGGCTGCAGAGGGGTAAGGCGAGCAGGATCCCGTGACGTTCCACTGGTGCCTAGCTTGCTCCAGAAGTGGTTTTGTTCTGGCGAGCACGTTTTTGGGAGGCTGACGTTGTCCTTACCCCAAAATGTAGCACAACCTGGAGGTGTTGCCTCCTAGAAAGTATTCAGGAGATTCCTGTAATTCATCTTTATTTCTGTGATCAGGATTGTTATCTGTGGGTCCCTATCTTTTAATCTGATGGTTTTCCTTTAGGATCAGTGTTTATCATATTTGAATTTTCCCACAGTTTCTTTCCCCCTGGAGAGCTCAATCAATACCAGTTCAATTGAATTAAAAGGTAAAGAGAGAAATGGAAGGGTAAGACCCAAAGAACAAGATGTGCCTCAAAGAAGCCAGCGCCTTAGATCAAAAGTAGCTCTGCTCCCTGCTGATCACACTGGGCCCCCAAAGCCACACACAGGTTAGGTTTGGGCTCAGGGATCTCAGCATTGGCGTCTTCAGGACCTTCCAGCAAGAGGAGCACACTTGGCCTGTGCCACCCCTCAGTAAAGGAAGCCCAGTACGGTGACCTTCTGTCTGTGTCTTCACTAAGCAAGGAGGCTGCCAAGCCCTGGCCAGGCCGGTCACTCAGGCCTCATGCTGAAAGCATACAGTTGAAAAATATTAATGTTTTTGTTGACCCCGGCTGACAGCTAATAATTTACCTATGGACAGTGATCCTCATCTATTCTGTTTATTCATTTATTCTTTCTAACACGCTTTCTTGCCTTTCTTGCTCTAAGGCTGAAGTAGGATGGAATGGTCACCCTAGATGTTTAGAAGATGTAGCACCTTGAGCAGGGTTCCCCAGCCCTCCCCACAGCACCCTAAACTCCAGTGTGTCCAGGTTACCTGAATAACTCAAGGCAAGCCTCTGGCAGTCACTCTCGTTTATGAGGGGCAAACCCACATTTTAAGGATTATTACAGAGTTTATGTAATGCAGATAATATGCCCAGGACTGAGGTAAGCAAGGGATGGCAAGATGATGAAGAGGCACTCTTTGCATCTTAGGAGTTCATCGTCAGCAGGAACACAGGCAAAATGGCATGCGGTGTGCTAAATAATGTAGTCCACTCATCTGCAGGGCATGTGTTCCAAGACCCGCAGTGGATACTTGAAACTCCTGACAGTGCCAGCCTCTCTATACTGTTTCTTCTGTATCCTTTGTAGTACTGTCACAGAGTATCAGGGTTAGTCTCTCATCCATGTTTTATGCCCTGATGCCTCTTTTGCATCATTATTCTTTCACTTAGCTTTTTTTTTTAAAGTAAAATAAAGATATTTGACCACAAAACACTGCAATACCATGACAGCATACCTGATAACTGAGATCGTCACTACATGGCCAATCAGCAGGTAGTGTCTACAATATTGATACACTGGACAAAGGGATGACCCATGTCCCAGGTGGACAAAGCAGGACAGTATGATATTTCATCATGCTACACTGAATGGTGTGCAGTTTAAAACCTGTGAATTATTTCTGGAACGTTCTATTCTGTGTTTCCAGTGTGGTTAACTGTGGGTGTGTGAAACCATAGAAACTGAAACTGCAGGTGAGGGGGAGCTGCTACCCATAGAGGTGGTCTATGACGTGGTCTTGAACAACTCTAGGAATTCAGGGATGACTTCTCAGAGGAAGTCATGGGCAACCTGGACCTGGAGAACGAACAAGAGGTCTCTGGGAGAAGGGGCAGGGTGGGGTGCTCTAGAAGAGGAGCCTAAGGTCATTGTCCAAGAATTACCTCAGAGGTCAGTCTGTGTGCCAGACTTGTACTAGGCTCTGAGGCTGAAACAGTGAAGAGGACAGAGGGAGGACGTGGCCAGATTTGGAAAGACTCAGGGCCCTGCAAGGATGGGAAAAGACAAGGAGAAGGCAGTGAGAGGATCTTGCCATCTGATGAGGCCTCACAGTGCTGTGGTGAGTTGCAAAAACCCTCTAAGTCTTGATCTGATTACAAAGAAATCCTTTATTTTTAGTCTAGGAGGCAAAAATAGTAAAACCAAGAGGCAGTTGTTTTGATTCAGTGAGTGAGTACAGACAAGATGAGGTGAGCTTACTATCTGAGAAACAAATCCTAGCAAGTGCTTACCCAGGAGAAAGGCTCTGAGTGGTGAAGGAAGGGCTGAGGCCACAAAAGGAAATGGTGTCGATTAGAACTCAGAAAGAGCATATTTGGAAGCCCAAAAGGCACTTTTTCCCAGGGGATTGGCTGAGGACCTTGCAGACCTAGACAGAAGCAGCTCCGGGCTGAAAAGGCTCCTCCTGTAAGTTTTCTATGCCTGAGGTTTCTTGTGAAGGGAAGGAGAAAGTGGAGACCATGGGAAGCTGGCCAGGTGTTGAGAGGCATGTGCGTGGGTTGGCAGAGCTGAGGGGAGAGGAAGACCCTGGGGCCCTCCTGGGCTGGACCAGCAGGGCTGTGTGTACTGTGGCCTCGCAGCTCATTGCCCTGGGCTGCTTTGCCCTGGGCCTGCCTGCCCTGCCCAGAGCTGCCTGGGCAGTGGAATGCTGGCTGTGGGCAAATCTAGAGATGAAGGCTTCCATCATTTTCATGAACTTTTCCTTCCAAGTATGCATTGTTCACTTGTGAGCTTTTTCCCCCTGGAAGTAACCCAGCTGCCTCAGCTCTGCCCTTCATGTGAGAGAATGCTAGGTTCAGTCTTTGCCCGGCCCCCTACTGGCTTTGTGACCAGGTTCAGCTCCTTTGCAGAAGGACAAGGATACAGCCAGCGGCTGTGATTGTCAAGCAGGGAATGCCTGGAAAGCCTGGGCCCGGAGCACAACGGGGACTTTGATAGCGCTGCCGGTCAGCTCTTACGGACACCAGCGAACATTTTATGTGGTGAAGTACTTACATAATTTTGTGACAGTGTAATAAAATGCGTATTACTATTGTCATATGTAGTTTTCATTGTACTCCTACCTTGTATACACATGGCTCATCTCCCCAACAAGTCTGTAAGAAAGGCAGTTCTGTTCCACAGCTCCTGAGTGCAAAAACAGACAGGTCCAAAGTCCAAAAACTGCTAATGTTTAAATTTCTTTTTTCCTAACTCATTTGGTGATTACAGTTTTACTTGCCCTGAACTGATAGAAGACTATTGATAATTTTTTAAGATTATGTGCCATTTCCACTCTGAACTAATAAATGAAAAAAAAAGATTACATGCCATATAAATATATTTTGCCTCATAAGTATTAGCATGCTTAGTGAGGGTCTCACCTAGATGTGAGGAGGAGACACTCAACACAAGGCATCTACCCTGAGTGCCTGAGCTAACCTGCATTAGCATTTGTTCTGGTTGTTTTGTGGTACCAGGGGATTGAACCCAGGGGTGCTCTCCCCCTGAGCTGCATGTCCAGTCCTTTTTTATTTTGAGACAGGGTCTCAGTAAATTGCCCCAGCTGTCCTTGAACCTGTGATCCTTCTGTCACAGACTGCGTTGTAGCTAGGATTACTGGCATGTGCCACTGTACCAGGCTGTATTGGCTTCTTACAGAGGTCAGAGCTGAGCTTTGCCAAGGGCTCCCACAGCTCAAGTTCATGTGAATGAGCAAGTAGAGCTCAGACTTTGAATCTGTGATGTCTGATTTTAAGTGGCCACCAGCCACGCCAATGCATGGTTATTACATGTTCTTGGACATATCAAGTTAGTTACTGGGTATGCTTAAGACCATTCTGCTTCTTAGAATCTCCTCTTCTTTCAGGTTATATTATTGCTGCTCAAAGCCTTTTTGATTGATATTATCTTCAACCTGAATGAAAACTGTAATTGCATCAGTGTAACTAAGCATGCTTTATTTTTGTTTCTTCTGTTTTTTTCTTAATAAGTGCATTTTAGAAGGGGTGTAGCTAAGAGATAAAATATTGGCATTTATTTTTCTAAATAAAAAAAATTTTTTTTCTCATGTAAAAATACAAAAAATTAACTCCGTATGGTGCCACATTCCTGTAAGCCAGCTACTTGGGAGGCTGAGGCAGGAGGATTGCAAGTTTGAAGCCAGCCTTGTCTGAAAATAAAAAACAAAAGGGTCTGGGAATGTAGCATAGTATAGAGCAGGACTTGTGTGAGCTCTTGGGTTTCATCATGTGCCATTAAACAACAATAAAAAATCCTGTTATTAAAGCTGTAGAATAAAGAAGTCTCTTCTGAAATGAATTATCTCAGAAAATCATACTGTGATGACTACCTGAATTTAATATCAATCAGTGTACCATAAGTCCCTTCCCTGTCTACCAACAATTAATTAGTTAATTAATTTTCCACTGGGTGTGCCTGACCTGGAAAGGGCAGAGATAGAAGAGGGCACAGACAAATTCCAGTTGCCCTGGGAGAACTTTCTGGAAAAGACTTGGTTATTGGCTGCATTACCACTTCTCTAATTCACAAACTGGGTCCATGAAGTCTGCATGCTAAGGTCTACCTGCTGCACTCCAGGGTGCACTGGATCATGGGCAGCAACTGAAGGGAAGGGTAATAATTATCTCAACTAGTGTGGGACAAAAATTGAGTAGCTTCTGTAGACCAGTATTCTTTTAGGTTTATGGGGACCCTGTAAACAAGGTGACTGAGATCTGGTGGCATCATTGCTGGAAAGAAGAGGGGCACTGTGATGGTAAATAAAGGCTCCAAAACTCACATAGAGAAAAAATGTCTCAGGGAGTGATGATGAAGAACACCGAAGCTGTACCTGAGGCAGAGCCATGTGCAGGGCATCGTTTGGCTTCTTCTTCCTTCACCTTTGGTGAAAAACAGAGCGGGGCCTGGAGGTGGACTTGGCTTAGCAGCGTTTGGTTGCAGCCCTCAGGTGTGGAGTGAACGAGGCTGAAGTTGTTGGTGACCACCTGGCTTTGGTTCTGGCCCAGGCACTCTCCCGAGCACTTCGTAGCTGTTAACGTACTAGAGTCTTCCAGTCTGCTGATGTTGTTTTCTGTTTTGGTCTTATTTTATGGACTAAGTCACTGAGGCACAGAGAGGTTAGGTAATTTGTCAGAAGTCACACCACTAATAAGTGATACAGTGAGGTCTGAACCCATGAGATCTGGATCCAGAGCTTGTGCCTCTTAAACATTGTTTTTCTGCTCAAAGAAACAAAGCTTTCTGAGAAACTGTTTTGGAGGGTAGGTCCCAAATAAATACTGGCTGGATGAATGAGCCATCTTTCCATCAAGTCTATGTTTTGGGGGACTGGGTATCCCATTCTGCACCATCACCACCACCACCACTGTGTTTTTTTGGTGGGGTGCTGGGGATCAAGCCCAGGCTAAACGCATGCTCTGCTACTGAACTGCACACCTGGTTTTCTTTGAAATCCTTGATGGCCATCATGATGTCACTTAACATTTGTCAAAAAACCGTGCAGAGTAATTGGGGGTGTTTGTTACCTGTGACCTTAGAGAGCACTGCCATCTGGGGTATATCCACAGTTCCTTTTTTAAATACTAGTTTTCTTCCTTGACTGAAAAATATATATTTGTTGGAGACAATTTGGGAAATATAGAAATGCATAAAAGAAGAAAACAACTCACCTAGAAACCTGCTGCTCAGAAAAAAAAAATAGCATCATTTGTCTATTTTTATCCATGCCTTTTTACCTTTGGGTTTACAGGGTGTGTAAAATTCCACTTGTCTAAGGAAGCATCCCATTTCATTGTCTTGCCAGGATTTCTTGAACTTTCCCCAGTTAATGTCTCAAAAGAAAAATCATTGGGGTTCAGAAAACATGCATTCTGCAAGAAGAAAAAAATACTTGATCATTATATTGGAGCATTTTGTGGGGGCAAACAGGCTTTTGGGCAATAAAGTCACATTTAATTTTCAGAGTAGCTTTGACGTGTTACACAGACAAGGATATAGATGCAGATGTAGATGTAGATGATACAGACAGATAATAGGTAACAGATACACAGACAAAAGCAGGTGACAGCAGGAGATGGCTGTGTCTCTGTGTACTGGGAGAAAAAGCTGTCTTGCTTTTCTTTCATAGATTGTCAAGAGGCAGTAGGTATAGGTAAGTGGGTACTGCGGTATGTGGAGTGTATAAAGAACATTTCCATAGCGATAATCGATCATCTATGACTGAACTTATCAGTGTGAGGGATAAAGTACTTGGCCATGGGTGGCCTTAAACTTCGGCGGCTAAGAGCCAGGAAGCCTGTGCTAGATTACCAAGGACAGTGAATGCTGGAGTCTCTGTGATTAAGCAATGAAGCATTGGTACATGAAAATGAGAATAAGTCCTTACACTGGGCAAGAAATAATCCAAATATTTAGAAAATGAAAGACTCTTCTCTGTTTAGCAGTTTAATCGCTGCTTTGTGTGCCTGCGTGGATTTGACATCATCAAGAAAAACATTTTGAAAAATTATGTTTTGGTACCTGCAGACTGAGAATAACATGTCCAGGCCTGTTGGCACAACTCACTGAGCTGTGAGTGGATCTGGAGAAAGTCCAGTGGTAACTTTGAGAGGGGAAGCACCACAGAAAGATGGAGCCGGAAGCTGGAGTCTCCATTGGAGAGGTCTATGTTGGAAGGGAAGGGGACGTATGGAAACAGGAAGATTGTGAGTGACACAGATAAGATAGATACACATTTTTTTCCATCATATACTGCAACTTTGAATGAGGAAAACTGGGACCAAATAAACAGGAATACATCATGCCACAAATCATAAAATTAAAAGGGCTTATTACTTTCAAGATATGGTACTGGCAGGAGATATAGAAGGATTAGAGAGGATTTGAAAGGATTGTAGATGCCAAGAAAGACTGGATCTCTCTGTAAACAGAAGGCACAGAGAGCAATGTGCCTTCTACCTCACACCCTCTGGGGCTGCTGCTATCAGAAGAACCAGCAGTACACTGACCTGGATTGAGAATCCCTGTATTTTTGGCTGTAGGGGTTTCTGATATGCTCCGGTCCTTCCACTCCTATTTCTTATGGTCAGTGCAGACTAATGTCTGCTTCATGTAGGACATTATTCAGGGAAGAGGACTTGATGAATGCCATTTCATTCATTCATATTTCAGCAAATGTTTCTTGAGCACCATGGGACAAGCACCAGGCAAGAAATGAAAAATGGTCACGGTCCTTGACAGGAACAATAAATAAAGCAAACATATAATTAGGAATTGTAGAGCTACAGCAAGACAAGGAACGTCAAGCTCCAAGAGGAAGTGTGTGTGCATGTGTCTTTCTGTGTGTGTGTGTGTGGTGTGGACAGGGCTGGGTGACTACCTAGAGAAGCCGGGCAGAGAAGGACTCAGGAGAGGAAACAGTCCATCTGAGATCTAAAGGGTGAGCAGTACCCAGCCGTGCTCACTGTGGGGAGAATGGAGATGTGTACAGCAGTCTCCGTACAAATGGGCTTGTTGTGTTCAAAGCTTACAGAGCCCAGTGTGGCTGGGGCATGGAGCACAGTGGGTGTGGGGTGGGGGGTTGTGTGAGGTGGGGAGTCGTGTCAAGCTCCAGGTGGAAGTGGAGGTTCAGGCAGAGGCCAGGTCACATGGGGCTTGGTAGGCCATGGCAAGGAGTTTGGAGTTCATCCCAAATGAAATGAGAGAGATTTTTCAAAGAAAAAATCCCAGTGATTCACATTTTAAAGTCTTTTCTGGGATTGTGCTAGGATACAACTCTTCTCCCTGTTAGATCATGTGCAAACGTACTCTACCCCTGTGTGTAGGTTGATGACAGAACTCTACAGCTTGCCTGTTCTTGGCCATTCTTCTGTGGGAGGAAATCTGATCATCAGAAAGCTCTTGAGGAAGGAAGACCAGCTGGCAAATCAAGAAGAAACAGATCATTCCTTCACTCTGACGCTATCCACTGTCTCACTCTCCAGTGGGCTGAGCACCCAGGCCTACAATAGGGGCTCAGATGTCCATTTATGTCTCTGTTCTCCATTTCTCCACCCTGCATGTCTCTCTGTGGGACATCTGAGGATCATCTCCCAGATAAATTACTTGCATTCAAATCGCCATCTTTTGGGCTGCTTCTAGAGAAACCAATTGAATATTAGGCTGGGTTTAAACAAAGAAGAATTTGCCAAGATTCCTGGCAACCATTAATTCTAGGCTTCCTTCCCTTGAAAAAGGTGGAGTGATGATATCAAACCTATCTAGTGAACAGCTGGAAAGGAAAGACAAGCTTGGAGTCAGAGGAGATCATACCACTTTTCCTCAATTTGACTGGCTTCATTACCAACCGATGAAATTAGACTGAGAAATCGGAAAAGTCACATTTGAAGAAAGACTATTTTGATACGCCGAGCATAGATGTGAATGAGATAAGCTGTAGTGAGATAAGAGACACGAATACTAATGAAATAGTTCAAAAGGAAATTTGTGTCATGCAGATGTAATATATGACTGGTGGTAATAAATCTGTCTGAAGTTCCTGTACTTCCTATAACCTCTGTGACCAAAGAGCTTTTATGATCTTTTGATGGTTTGCAATCCAAATAACCAAAAGTTCACAAGTGAATCGGGAATAGAAAGGTGCAGAAGAGGAAAAATTACTCAGATTAATCTTCCAACACAAAATATTTTGTAGCACACATTTTTATTCATATAATTCTATGTGATCTTTTTCCCATTTTGTCTTATAATGAAGCCACTGTCCTGGACCCTATATTTTGATTGTCTAGTGGAGATTTAATTTTATTTTTTCAAAGTGGAGTCTGATTATATTGCTTGATCTACAACTCTAGGGACCAAGTGATTCTTTTGCCTCTGTCTTCCAAGTCACTGGGCATATAGGCATTGACACCACACCCAGCTCTGTATGGGACTTTTAAGATTATGAATCGGAAAGACAGGAAATAGCATTTTGCGAAGGACAAACCTTAGCCAAGAAAAACAACAATCAATACAATGATTTTGATTTTGAGGACTTCAACTGTAGGACCAAATCATATACAATAAACACAAACATGAAACACAATGGATGAAACCCCAAGAGGCTACATTCACTCAAAACAGTCTTCCACTGTCATCTTTTATCATATGGATAGTCTAACCCGAAGCCACGTTACCTAGTTCTTTTGTTGTTGTTGGGTGGCTTGTTGTTTGAGACAGGGACTGGCTCTGTAGTTTAGGTTGGCCTTGAACTCACAGCAACCTTCCTGTCTTGGCCTCCTGAGTGCTAGGATTTCAGGCATGTGCCACCATTCCCAGCTATAGTACTCAGTTATGAGTTAATGTCATGGCAAAATTTTATTTTCTAATGATGCTCAAATACTAATATTTGAAATAAATGCATTTAAAAGCCAAATATATCAGTAATTATTATTCAAGTTTAACATGTCAGACCAGTAACAACTGGACTGCAGGATGGAGAGGTCTGGAAGGAAGTGAGGTACTGAACAAATTAAGAACTGAAGGAGTCTTTCTCAACAGCTCCCATTCTGCAGCAGTCTCTTTAAATGCATTGGGTTCAAACGACCAATGAAATAACAGAATGAAATAAAAGGGGAGGGGTCAACAGGAGGTGATCAGAGCAAGAAATCACTTGATACCGGGCAAAGCAAAGTATGCATGGCAGACCTTAGGAACAAATACTAATATGGCTCATTGTTGCTTCTTTAGGTAGTGGACATGGCCTGGCTGTGAGTTTTTAGATAATGAAGTAAAACATGTTTTAAAGTAGAATTGAAATTTTACTGACAGATACTTATGTTGTGTGTGACTCTTTACACATCAGGGTAAGCTGTGCACTGCCAAATATGCCCTCCTCAAACCAGGAGCCCTATACTAGGGTCTGCTGAAAGGTGAACTCAGTCTTCACCTGTAGACTGTCAAGAGTCCACATCACGGTCTCAAGGACGCCAGGGTGATTCTGTGAACTCGAAAGTATGATGGTGGGCAGTAGGTTGGGAAATTTGGACTCAGTTTGTGGGGAATCTAGTTCAGGGGCACATCTGTTTTCCTGTTCTTTTCTTCTCGTATATTTCATTTCATGTCCCAAAGTAATTCAATTCATAAACTCATTAGAGTCCTTTTAAAAGACTCATTAGGACTTTCAATCTGAAAGTTAAATGGGAAACCAGCTGATTTTATAGTCATGGTGAAGAAATTGCAGTTTTAAATCCCATTTTCAGATTTGGTAAGCAGACTTCAGAATCAACAGAATAGAGTGGCTCAATTTGTCCATCGGATGACTCCTAAAACATGTCACTGAACTCCAGAACACAGCACATGGCTGGTTGCCAGAGGCCAGGGGAGCGCTGAGGTCTAACAAATGTGTGAAGTTTAGCACAGGAATAGAAAGAGCAAGACCTGGGGACGTATTGTGCCCTCCTCCACCTCTGCTGTGTGGTTGCGAGTGCTTCTTACTTTTCCCGGCCCTGACAGCTCACCTCCAACTCCAGCTCTCACTATTTATGAGCGTGTGAGCCACGAGGATGAAAAGAGAACAAATGGGGGAAGTCTAAGGAAAGGGGTCCCTGCATGTGACCCGACGGCATGTGTCTTGTGGAGACACATTTGCTGAGAACTGATTCGGGTAAGTAATGGTGGGTGAAGTGTGTTTTGTTTTTTTTGCTTCTTTCCCCTTCTATGTTTTCTACAATGAAGAGATATTACTGTTATAATAAAAATGGACTGGTGTTGGCAGAGAGACAGAAAGAGGACAGTTACCTGGTACAGGCATGCAGTTCATAGAAGTAACTGCAGATGGGCTATAGCACAGTATGGTAACTATGGCTGGCAACAATAAATGGTATGTTTCAAAATAGCTGGTGGAAAGGGGCCAGAATGTTCCCAACACAAAGCAATGAACATCTGAGATGGTGGATTGCCAACTACCAGGATCTATCTGGTCATTACGCATTGTATATATGTATCCAAATATCACAGTGTACCCTATAAATATGTTCAAGTGAAATAAGTGATCTGAAAAAGGAAGAAAAAAATGTTATGGCAGGCTCAGATAATAGCACAAATTAAAAGAGAAGATCTTATCTGAGGTTGCAGGATGAGGAAGTGCCCTGGAGGAATTTGGGTGTGTGTGCCTGGCTCAAAAAGACCCCTGGCACCCCTAGATCTCCCCGTTTCTCAGAGGCCTTCTGTTACCAGTTACCCAGGGTGGAGTCCATGTCAGCAGGGACCTGCCGAGGCTCTGCGAGTCCACTGGTCAAAGTGAAATTTCTGTGACCTAAACTTTCTGTTTGCATTGGCGGGACCGCCCAGGACGTTGGCTGGGCGGACTCAGGTAAGCACCTTGCGGCGCTGTTTTGCAGCTCGCCCATGCTTCGTGGGGGAGTGGAGCGCCTGGAGTGGCTGCGCGGACCAGTGCAAGCCAACGACCCGCGTGCGGAGGCGCTCGGTGCGCCAGGAGCCACAGAACGGCGGGGCGCCCTGCCCTCCACTGGAGGAGCAAGCCGGCTGCCTGGAGTACTCCACGAAGCTCGGCCGGGACTGCGGACACGCCTTCGGTACCGTGTTCTCAGGGCTGGGCTGGGCTCTCTTTGCTGACCTCTTGGCCTCTTCATTCCATAAAAGGTCACAGGCTATGCAGGGAAAATTCCAACCCTGCAGGGAGTGGGGTGGACCGGTCTGCCCAAAGGAGATAGGAAGCTCAGGAAACGCTTAATAGAGGAACTGATGGCCAGCTGAAAAAAGCCTCCCTCTCCCTGGCCTTCCTCTGAGGGCGTTTTTAATCCCATGGCCCATTCTCATTCTGTATGGGCTCAGTAATAAAATCAGCCACATGTATGGAATCCTGCCCCCCCGCAGAGGTGCTGGGACTTGAACTCAGAACGGAACAGTTGGACAAGTGCTCTACCACTGAGCTACACTCCCAGCTTTACACGCATGTGGTTTTTAGGTGATAAAGGAAGTTAGATATGATGCTATTTCATGCTGGCTGGTAATTTCACTTCCACTGTGATTCTGCATTAGGCAGGAGTTTAGATTTGCACATTATTTTTTGCATACTCATAAACGCAAATGGTAGAAAAAAGATAAATTTCTGAATGATGATAAAATGATTCTGTGAAAACACCTGCCTCTCTTCTCAAGCTGACAGGACTGAGTTACGTGTGACCCGATTTGTGATTTGAAAAGATTACTCTGGTTGTGAAGCAGCCAGCAGTGGGTTTAAAAGCAGGCTCACTCATGACCAGGAACCCAGTGAGTCTCACAAAGAAAGAGAATGGACCAGGATCGATGTATTGATCTGGATCGAACACAACAGGGCAAAACACTGACATATTGGGATAGCAAAGACCTTGTGTTTTTCATAGGTTGGAATACTTCAAAGCCAACACAACCTGCATCAGTCATTTAGTTCTTTCTTTTTTCCACACATAAATATTTACTCAGAATCTGGCTGGGCACCCAGGCTACAGTGGAGGAAGAGTTCATGCAGAGCCTGCTTTCACATAGGGCATGATCTAACAGAGAGGGATGCAATAATACGGCTCCAGGAAATTAATCCTGGAAATGGACAGCTGTGGGTGGCATATGGTACAGCTGATATTAGATGAGTGAACAGCAAGTCTAATGAGATCTGAGGGAGACGAAAGGCAGGAGATGCCCTGCAGATGGGCTGAGAAGTGTATAGTTGCTGGGACAGCCAGATCAAACCTGGTTGTCAGGTGTAGGGGGCTGAGGGATTCAGGGATAATGAGAGCAAAGGTATCACTAGGAGAGGCAGCGATACACCAGGCCCTCCTGGGCGGTGCTTAAATGGAGTGGTGGGGAAGAACAAATCCTCTCAGCATGGTCTGTCCAGAAGGAGACAGACTGGGGCTGGGATGGGGTGGTATGCAACAGGAGATGGCACAGGAACTCCCAAGATAGGACTTACGAGGGACCTTATCTGTCTAGGTGATGTCTAAGACATAGCAGGATGTATCTACATCAGAGCTAACTTGAGATCTTTTCACCTTTGTTTTGCACAGTACTGGAAATTGAACTCAGGAATTGCTGAATTCATTTTAAAATTTTTTAAAAATTTTTTAAAATTTTATTTTATTCTTAAATTTTATGTTGAGACAGCATCTTACCAACTTTAAACTTGGAATCTTCTTGCTGGGATTATAGGCATGTGCCACTATGCTGGGCGAGGGCAGGCTCTGAAGGTCCCGTCTTATTAAAGGCCAACAGATACTGGGAACAGTGTCACAGGTGTGTAGAGCAGGCCTTAAAAATCTGCTTGCTAGTCTAAGGCCATACCACCCTGAACGCACCTGATCTCCTCTGATCTCCCAACCCTAAGCAGGGTTGGGCCTGGTTAGTACTGGAAGGGAGACTGCCTGGAAATACGAGGTGCTGTAGGCTAAAAAAAAAAAAAAAAAAAAAAAAAAAATCTGCTTGCTTGACTCTCATTTAAAAAACCAAATTTGATTTTGATGGAGGAGTCTCAGGCTGTGGTGAGGAAATGGGTAACCTGTGGTTCATTTACATAACCCTGGGGGCTTCTTTGAGAACTGAGTGAAGGCTGTTTGTGGGGAGCACAGACAGCACCCTCTGACTTTTCAGAGCCTTAAAAGCCACTGGGGTGTTTTCTGCAGGTTTGTTGTAATCAGTTCTGAGATCGGAAAGGATTCCTGTGCTATAAATGGCGCCTGGAGCATCCCGTGGCTAAAACAGCATAGTTTTATCTTGGGTAGTTTAGTGCCTCTAGAGTAGCTGCTTAGGGAAGTAGCTGTAGGTCACAGTCTGGTCCAGTCAGGCTCTCTGCAGGAACACCAAGAAACAGCTTGGGGAGCAGACTGCTGTGATACATCGTTGATTCCCCCAACCCCTTCCCTCCCAGGTTGTTCCCAGGCTTCTAAAGCCCCCGTATCTTTAGAACAGGACTCTGCAGGAGGGTCCAGGAGAGGAGGCTAGGCAACACGGCCTGAGGAGGACATCAGCAGACAGGAGCCACACTCCTTAAGGGTGGCCCTGGGCAGACACAGCCCTGCGCAGCCCCTGGGACCTCTTCTTTAGTAGGAGGTGTGGGCCTCCTCTTCTCCAGATACTCTGGCTTCCTAATTTACTCTCCTGCCACAACACCTTACCAAGAGGTTGTGCTAAGCAAGCAGTCACTTGCCCTCACCTACGCAAGTTATTAGAAACTTTGGGTTCACTAGCAGGAGATATCTGTACTCAGTCACTTCTCCTTACAACATAAAATAATAATCTGGTTTGGCAAAAGGAGAAATCTCTACACTTTTAGCCCTGACTTTGATCTCCAAGGTCCCCCTTCCTTTGAGGTATTTTGGGAGGGATGATTCCTGTCACACACTGCCCAGGGAGAAAAGGAGGGATCCTGGACCAAGAGCAAGTGCACCACATCCCCAGAGACCCACCAAGGCCCATGGGTCAGAGCCTCTGGAGTGGCCCAGCACTCTGAATTGCAGCAAGGTCTCCAGGAGTCCAGCAGTTCCTGGCCCTGTGTTATAGGCTGGGCATGGATACAGAGCCCTGCCTGTATCACAGCTGGCAGAAGTTTCCAAAGTGCATTCTCTTTTATGACAATGGTGCACCAAGAGGGGGATTCATCTTCTCTACCATGGAACTTCTCAAAACATACAATGATACACTCACACACACGTAGGCAATGTGTTCCCACTTTATTTGATTAGATAACTTTTTTCTTAGAGGCATTTCACTAAAATTACTAGTGTTCATGGAATACACTTCAGAAAATGACGGACATTTAGGAGAAAAGAAGAGACAATAACACACACATCTGATCTCAGGAGTTCCTCAAGGATGCTTGGGTCTTGTTCCATTCCAGCTCCTGTGTTGCTTTTTCTTTTTCTGATGGCACAAGGTGCTGATTTTGTACTGAGTTACACTCCTAGTCTATTTGTTTATCTACTTATTAGATAAATAATCAGATAAACAAATCTAAGTTGCTCAGCCTGGGCTTGAACTTGTGAGCCTCCTGCCTCAACCTCCCGGAGTTCTGGGATTGTAGACATGTGCTACAACTCCTAGCTCTGTGCATTCATTTTTCTTTCGCTGACTTAACATGAAGCAACTACCACATGCCAGTGCTGTGGTATGTTTTGGGACTCCAGACTTCAAAAAAAAATGCACCGTCCTTCATAATGACCTGGTGTCGAGCATTGTGGCAGAGAGATGCAGCTTAGGTTGGTGTGGGAACCCAGAGGAGGAGAGTGTGCGTAAGCCCAGGTGCTCTCAGGCCTGCTGCTTGGTCTCCTGTACACTGTTCACAGAGCAGGGGGCTTTGCTGCATGACACGCGAACATCTGCAGGGCAGCGAGCTTTTATAGACATTACTGATTCACATTTTCATAGCAGTCCTACCACAGAGTGCATTAGTTTTCTATGGCTACAATAGTAACATTGGAAATTTAGTGACTTAATACAGCACACATCAGTCTTTGTGTGACAGAATTCCAACACAGGTCTACCTGGACCTAAGCCAAGGTGTCAGCAGGCAGAAATGAAGGCTCAAGGGGGTATCTGTGTCCTTACTTTTTCATGGATGAAGGGTGATCCTTAATGTAAGGAAAGCAGAGCAGATTGTATCCTGCAGGTATGTGAAAAGTAGAACTTGAAGGTGATGACCCTTCGAGTTGAAACTTGGATATTCACCTAAGGAGAGTTGCAAGCAAAGTGTTGAAGTGTTGGCTTCTGTTTGTTGCATATAGTAAAACACGAGAGCAAAGAGAAGAGAAAGATGTCTAGGACTAATACAATCAGGCTTTAACTGTGAAATTCTTAGCCTATCAAAAGGCAAAGGATGTTAAAATTTAAGCAGGTGCTAGAGTGTGTAACTGGACAGCCTTCTCGTATCTCTGTCCCTTCCTCCTGGCTGTTTCTCCTGTCTTCACAGGCGGCAACCCTGGCTCTCTCTGTGCCTTTCATCGGCAGCCACATCTCCCTATGACTAGATTTTGTTTAAGTCCCTTGGATTTTGTGGGGCTTACCTAGATAATCTGGGAGACTTTTCCTATTTTAAACATTTTAATTTTATTTGTAACTTTAATTCCTCTTTGCCATATAAAACAACATATCCATAGGCTCTGGACCTCTTTGGGGGCCATGATTATTGGAGGGAGGTGGACAAGATGATCCTCCTTTATTAACATATGCGGGCACTGGAGTTCTGGGAAGTGGCAGCACTTGTCAAGTCTATCAGAATTTAAACCTGGCCCTCGTGGCCCTAAACCCATGAGTTTTCCTCTTTTCATGTTGTTTTTCTGTTAACCATTATCACTAGCATGAAAACTGGGATTAGAGATTCTGATAACTAAGTAGAAAAATAAAGGCTCCATAAAGCCAAAGAATGAAACACAATCAGTGAAACTGTCTTGTTACTGAGCAAATAATAGCTGTGGATTTTTTCCCATTTCATCTAATCCTTGTGACTGCATTTTTCACAAAAACAGACGTAAATAACTGAATTACTGAATTTGTTGCACATTACTGATGTTCATATGAATTTTTCTCCTACATAGAGATCAGTGTGTTTCCAGGTAGCTGTTTGTCAGATTTCCCTTTAATTCTCTTTGGTACTGTATCTACAGAGCAGCGCTTTTGTAGTACTCTATTGTGTCCAAGGGCTTACAAAATTCCTAAGGCAAATTTAATTTACTTTCATGTTCAAAGGAATACGTGCGGTGCCATGCCTTTAGAAGTGGAAGTTGTTGTAAAACTGAACAATGTCAGGCTCACAGATTGCCAGCAAAGTTGGCAAATGGCCTGTGAACAGAGAATGTATTACATTAGAATATTGTTGTCAGGAAGGGGAACGGAAGGGGAGCTAACATTTATGGACAGTTTGTCCCAGGGCACTGAGCTACGTGTTTCTGCACATAAGCAGAAGTGGGACTGCAGGCATAACTAATTTCTAAATCATTCACCACTGTTAAGTAATGAAAGTTAAATGTGTGGGGCATATTAAAAAGAGGCGCTGGTTTGGAGAGCTTGGGGTGATCTGGCTCCTGGTCTGCTTGCTAGAGATTCCATGTAGGGGGACGATACTCTTGCAGTAGAATGTGCCCCCATTGAGCCCTGGGGTGCAGGGGCGGGGACAGAGAGCAGGCAGGGTGACTGGCTCACTTACGCAATGCGCCATCACAGGCCTTGAAGCACAGATCCTGAGTCTGAGGACAGAAGACATCTTTTGTGCTGGCCCTTTTCTCCACATGGCACCTCTCTGAGTCTGAGGAGTAAAACTGACATTCACAGTTTACAAAGTTTCTGCAAAGAAGCATGCATGAAATCACTCTGTGAGCCCGCAGCCTGTAAATGCAAGGGGCCACTATGGTTGCATGTTGGTCCGCCTTCTCGGCCTCATGGGACTTTGGAGTGTAATGTTCAAATTCGCCCATTTCCTTTCTTAAATCTGACTTCATGTGGAGGGTGGTGATTTGGGACAGAAAGGGAAAATAGCTCAGAATGTGAGTACTTCATGAGAACTAGGCTGCCCAGAATGGCGGAACTCTGCAATCATAGGTGACCCTGAGGCACAGGACTGCCTGTCTCTGCCCTATTTACATTTGAACCTTGAAGTTTTTCCTTCTGCAGTGGCGACTGGACCCAGGGCTTCACACTGAGCTGCATCTCCATCCCTTGTCTCACTTTTTCTGCAGTATCCATGAAGTTTGGTAGCTTTGAACTTTTGTACTGATACATGCAGTACAAATTAGGAGAGCATATAAATGATTTGAACAAAAGAAACATATCCTGAGGATATTTTAGTCTGATGTGTATGATTTACTACTAAATGTGCAAGCATTTAGCAGTAAATTTATTCTTCACTTCGTGACTAAACACATAAATGTGTCAAAAGAACAGAATTGAAAACACATGGGAAAATTACCGTCCTTTAGATGTTTCTGTTGCTGATCATTAAGTCTGAGAGAGAAGACTCCTGCTACATGTCCTCACCTCTGAATTTTTAAAATGCAAAAACTATAGTCACATTTAAAAAGCATGACATGGTTTTTCTGGAAATCAGTTGAACAAGTCACTGCAGCAAGAAAGAACCCTACCAGCTGGGGCTCTGGGTTTGCTGTACGGATGGATGTTTCCACACTGGGGAGATTGGGCACCAAACCACATGAAGTGGGAACCATGCCTGCAAGTCTTAGAAACAAGTGACTACTTGGCATTATTAGGCTGCTCTTGTCTTACATTCTCTAGTGCAATAAAAATGACTCCACCTCAAGAAAACCTAAATAAGAAATGAGACCTGCCCTCTAGTGGCAGGAAGGAGCCACATAAACCAGCCTGCAAGCTCTCCGCATCCTTTTCCCAGTCAGGGCCCTCCTGCCACTGCCCCTGTTGATGATGACCTTAGTATCTCAGGAGCCCTCATCAGCTTCTGTCTGCCTTTCACAGGGTTGTCCAGTTCCTGAAGTGAAAGGGAGGAAGGTTTGTTGAGCTGTCTCCCTTGCAGGGCTGACAGAGCCCTCCATATCCGAAGTGTACACCTGCAAATCAGCCAACCAAGAGGCGAAAGTATTGGAGGGGAAAAGTGCCTGTGTATTGAACAAGCAGACTTTTTCTATGCTATTCCTGGAGTGACACAGTATCACAACTATTTATTAGTGTTTATACGGTAGTATTACAAGTAAGATCCAGAATTGACTTAAAGCATATGGTAGGCTGTCTGTAGGCTATTTGTGAATACTGTGACATTTTATTTAAGGGACTTGAGCACCTGAGGATTTTGGCATTCTCTGGGGTTCCTGGGATGAATGACTTTAGGAAGAGAAGACCATAAGGAACCAGGACTGTGCGCTTTGGTGAAGATTTCATAATTTTACTCATCCATTTATTGCACACAGCTATTTAGTGTCTCAATGTATAAGGGATATATATATAGTGAGGAATGAGGCAAAACCCTGTCTTTTTGAAGTGACATTGGAGTAGAATCAAGAAGTTACCCCCAGGTGCGACAGATAGCAAAGGATGCAACTGTAGATTTAGTGACAATGTGGGAACATGGCTCACAAAATGAAATAGAAAAGGAGCTGAGTGTGTAGTGCACAACTGTAATACTGACTACTTGGGAGTCTGTGGCCAGCCTGGTCAACCTAGCGAGACCCTGCCTTGAATTAAAAAAAAAGAAAAGAAAAGAAAAGAAAAAGAAATTTTAGAGGGCTGGTGAGGTAGTTTGGTGCAAAGACCTGAGGTACGATCCCCAGTATATTCTTCCATCTGCTCCCACAAAGAGAAGAAATGTAGCCCAGTGGCAGTGCTTGCCTAGCACATGGAAGGCTCTGGGTTCCACCCCCAGGCAGCTCCATTCCACACAGTGAAGTGCAGTAGATCAGAGGCAGGAGGAACTCTTGGCTCTTCTCCCCCACCCATCCTGTCAGAGTCCAGGGCTGCCTGGGGACACTGTCCTGGCCAGCACCGTGCAGGAGCAGGGGGTGTGGGCTGCAGCTCCGGGAGCTGCGGGAGCACCCACACTTCTTTCCTTTGCTTGCTTTTATTCTTTCTCGTTTCTCCTGATTGTCCATTTTGTCTCCTTTCATTTCTCTGGGTTTTTTCTCCCTTTCATCTTTTTCTCTATTTTACTTTTCCTGTAATTTTCTTCTCTTACAATCTCTATTCCCTCACTTTCCTACATCTTTTTATTATTTCCCATTGGCTATTTTTTTCTCCTTCTCTTTTGGTTTTGTTACTGCAGACAAATGTGCTTGTCTGAGGCCTGCAGTCCCGTGTCATCTGCATGTGCATAAACCTTTAATTTGGTTCTGTGGATCTTGTAGCTTAGCCTCATTTCCCTGCTTGATGGGGCGCCAAGGGCTTAGAAATGGCATGACAGAGGATTTGTTCTGATTCCTTTGGCTGCGTGAATTTAACATAATTCTCCCTTTTGTAGTCCCTGCCTTTATAACTACCTCTGCATTCAACAAGGAGAGAACGAGACAAGCTGCATCTCCACAGTGGTCCAAGCACCCAGAGGAACCTGGGTAATTTGGTATTATTATTATTACTCTTTTCTAGTCACGTAGTCAAGTTTATCCAAAAGACTTATTTGCCTTCTCTGCTTTTTCTGTAACTTGTTCACCCACTTCCAGTAAAACATGACGAGTCAAGAAAGTACTTGTCCCCTCCCTCTTTTTTGTGGGGGCTGGAAAGACTTACCTGTCTCTGAGGTCTGATCCCCAAGAAAAAACAGGTACATAAAACATAAAAATAATCGTAAGAGCAAGAAAGATGCTCTTCCTAGAGTCTGTATGGAGCCATGGGCTCCAAAATCATCTCTCTCGGTGAACTTGAAAGTGACCCACACTTGAGTTCAGAGGATTTTTGCTGTTGATAAGACTGGAAGGCACCCCTATGCTCACCTGAGGTCCTCTCTTCTGCCATCAGATAAGAGATTGGATGGCCACAAGCTCACTAGCCATAACTGTTCCACTTCAGGTTTTTTTTCTTGAGAAGTGAGAGTATTAATACCCACCACTTGAGGTTGATATGAGCATCTAAGGAGACAATAGCATGGCAGGTCTTCAAAAGTTGATTGATGCAGAACTGTACAATTTCTGACCCCAATAACTAAAGATAAGCAGTACCTATCACTGTTAAAAATCTTTGGAGCAGTTTTTCCAAAGTTCCCACTTAACCTGTTACAACTCATTAGTTGATGAATAAAAATATCAGCCCATTAATCTGAAAATAGTGTCTTTCTTTTGTGACACTTGGGGTTTTTGTTGTCTGTTCCCCTGAAGACTTGGAGAGGCATGCTACACAAACTCTCAGAAACTCAGCATGTCCAGTACTCTTCCCTGAGAACTTCAGAGTCACAAGGATGTCAGCATTTCCAACAAGCCAGGATATGCTGACACCAAGCTTTGCCACAGAAAACATCGCTCAGCTTCCCATTTCTGCTTTCATCTGTGATGCCTGATAGAACTTGGGTGCTTGATTCCAAGTTGAGACTCACTGACATGAGCCCAGATGATGCAGGCAGGCCAGGTGGTGAGTGCAGGAAAGGCTCCTGGGAACTTCTGGGGGGCAGAACAGCACGGGTGCTGGCCTGGGTGTCAAGAACAAGCCTACTCTGGGTTCACGCAAGGTCCCCTTCTATTTATGTAATTCTTTACAATATCTGCAACATTATCCCGGACTGTCTTTCTACTAAAACATATGCTTTTCTATACAACCTGTCTGACTGGCAGGACACAGGTTGTCCAAATGTGAAATTCATGTTGATCATATAATTCAGTTACGGACTGAGAAAGATGAGAAAAGGTTTCCTCATGTTGTTCAGCAGTACATAGTGTAGTAGAAGCAGTAGCAGTAGCAGTAGTCATTCTGCAAAGGAGAAACTGTCAGCTTTGTGTGACTTGTGAGAAACTTGTGAAGATGCACTCATTCCCTGCTCGAGCTGGCCAGGTTCCCATGGACAGGACAGATTTCCTAAGACTTCCTGTGATGTTAGACCACCTCTAATTACAGCAAGTGAACCCTCCCCTGTTTTGCTTTAGATACTGTATGGAGTTCAAAACCGAGTCCTTGACTCCTCACTGTGCTCTGGAACACGGGCCCCTGACTCGGTGGATGCAGTATCTCCGCGAGGGGTACACAGTGTGTGTGGACTGTCAGCCTCCAGCTATGAACGCTGAGAGCCTTCGCTGCTCCGGGGACGGTCTGGACTCTGATGGGTAAGGGAGGGAAATGGATTGCAAGACTCAAATTATCATTATGTCTTCTGAGCACCTGTCCCCTCCGCACTCTGAGCCGCTGACCAGTATGTGACATATGTTGTGATTTGAGCAGTGTGGAGAAATCATCTGTCCAGCAGTTCCTGAGTCCAGATCTTCAGTTCTTACTGCAGGGCTCAGGCTCTCTGAGCAGAGTTGCATGGGTCACCTTGGCTCCTGAGGTTCAGATCAGGTACCCAAAGGAACACTAAAACCTGATTGTTTCATAGTAATATTCTGAAGATCATTTAAATCCAACTCACTTGGGATACAGAAAGAAATGTGTAGACTCCCAATCCCACTTCAGATCAGGTAAATTGCAGTCTCTGAGAGGAGCAGATTTTTAATACTTGCTTTGGTTGGAGGTCAGAAAACTTTTCCAGTTAAATGCTAGAGTAGACTTTTTGGCTCTGTATTCCATCTGGCCTTTGTCACAGCTGCTCAGCTCTGATACAGAGGCAGGGAAGCAGGACTAGATGCTATGTAAACCTTGGCTTTAACTAACGTTTTATTTATGGATGCTCAGATTTGAATTTCATAGAATTTTTTATGTATCATGAAATTCTTTTGTCATTTTCTTTTAAATCCTTGTAAAGGTAAAATCATTCTTAGTGCATAGTCTGTACAAAAAGAGGCGCAGGCTAGAGAAGGTCATGGTTTGCTCACTCTGCCCAGCGTTTCGCATCCATGCTGTTCTGAGCCAGCGCACAGTGGGGTTTTCTCATGAAATCATGATCATGAGAATGGTAGGCTCAGCTCTGCAAGGTGACAATCCCATGCAAATCCACACATTTTGTGAAAGAATTCTCTCCAAAGACATTTCATCACCCTGGAAATGGATCTCAATCCTGTACTTATCAGCTATATCTGATAATGCCCTTTGTAATTAAGAGTGTTAATGTAGGCTGGAACAGTTACTGGACAGAGACCAATTTAGGTCACACATGGATTATAGTTTCCAGGATTTCAGGTAGAACTGGTAAAAATCCTGATGGAACAGTAAAATATCGACCTTTCTCATTAATCATTATTTCCATTGTATGCTTCAATACTTAATGATATGAATTTATTAGTCACTTGTGCCTAGAAGCCTTTATTGAATATACTGTATGAATAATAAACTGGGTAAGGAATTCATACCAAATGAAACTTAATATCTTTCTGAATACCTCATCCACAGTTTGATTTTAAATGAATTTATAATTCAATTTGTACCCCATAAAGAAAAAGCTTAAACCCCTGGCTAAGGGAGCAGTAACTTTAAAAATAATAATTTTAATAATCTGGCCTTTCTTGCTTTCCGCTTCTCCCATTTTTATTATAAAATCAAAGACTTGGAAAGAAATCAAAGAGTGCATTTGGCTTAGACTCTCCTATTTATTTGTTTAAGGTCTCACTACGTAGTCTGGGCTGATCTTGATCTCACTATATAACCATGCTGACCTTGAACTGTCAGTAATCCTCCTGCCTCAGCCTCCTGAGTGCTGGGATTAGACGGGTGTACAACCACCTTACCCAGCTAGACCTTCTAGTTTAAATATATGTGAAACAGTCATTTTCCTTCTGCGGTACTTTTATTCAGATCCAGTGGAAGAAATGAATAAAGCAACTCCAGGAAACTCTCTCAACACAAGGGTACCCTCTAATAAGGGATAAATTGGTAACTTATTTTGACAGAGCCTAAGGAAAAGAAACCTTTGTGATCACTGAAATTTAAAAAAAAATTTATAAAGCACTTCAAAACTCTGAGATTAGTATTTTTTTAAAAAAAATTCCCAAACCCCATTCTATAATTTTGTAAATTAGAATTTTCTTTGGTTTGCTTTTAGTGTAACATCTCCAAATTATCATTTCAGAAATCAGAGCCTCCACTGGCAAGCAATTGGCAATCCTCGATGTCAAGGGACCTGGAAAAAAGTTCGGCGTGTAAACCAGTGTTCTTGTCCAGCTGTTCACAGTTTCATTTTTATATAGATTTGCATGTTTTCAAAATGTGTTCATAAATGTGCTAAATATTGTTGTGTTCAACACTTACAGACCTTCAGACACTGTTTGGCTGAGGTTCTGGAACACAAGTCATTGCCACGCAGTGAGGAATTTGAGAAAGGAAACGTAGGGACTGATTCTCAAGGAAAAGTGTCTTTATCTTTACTAACATGAGGACTCACTAGAAAAGCTCCTGTGGTCTTATGTCCTTTGTGTTGTATGTTCCAAGACCGTATGTCTGTCTGCACTAGAATTATGACCACATGGTCCAGTCTACTTTTTGGTGAGAAGCCTTTACTTAAATGGATTACTTAAAAAATGGATATTTTTTAAAAATCTTATTTCATAGTCTCTTAAAAGATTCTCATTTTTAAAAAGTACATATATATATATTTCTGACACATTTCTTATGTTATTCCATACATGGTGAAATAATTTCAAGTAAAATTATCAGAAATAATTTTCTACAGGGAAAAGTTGTTTAAAATTTCTATCAGAGTTTTAATCAATAGCTATGCTACAATATTTTTTGGAGAAGAGATTTTTTTCAGTTAAATGAAAAGAATAGTCAAATATGCATTCTAGGTCAACAGATGTCTTTTAAATATTGTAATTTTCATGAAGAGAAATTTTGGTGACAATGAACATAATTGCTTTCATATGAAAATTCTATCACTGTTCCTGTCTAAAATCATTTCCAAGGCTTGAAACCTGAAGCTGGATAAAATAATCTTTCAGGGTCCAACTTCAAATTTAGTTGATGGGGGCTCACTGCAGTACTTTTTTACCAATATATATTTGTTGGTTTGAGGTGGAAGGCAGGAGGAGCACAGATGACAGAAGCCATGGATTTCACTGCGGGTGCTATGATCACACACACAAGAGAGAAAACACAATCTACATATTTTATGATTAGAAAGAGCATCATGAGCACAAGAGAAAATGGCCTGCTGAAAGGACCTGAGATGACAACTTAACACTGCAGTTAAGAGCCACACCTGGGCTTCCCATCCAGGGCTTGCTTTCAGTGAAAAGCCAGTCTGAGCTGTATAAGCCAACCCTGCTTCAGCTTAGGAACAGATCTTAAATTCAGAATATTTCTTTGGAGAACTGAGTCTTGAGATATAACCTGCATAAAATTTGTTTTCAATTGTATTACATGGTTATTCACTAACAAATGGTTTACTACAATGCATATTTCTTGGTATTAATGTAATGACAGCAGCAATCCTAAAGGGCATGGAAAAGTCACAGCAGCAATATTTCTGACTGTACTGTGTCAGTTATTTTTTATGGAAAATTAAGTTCTTCAGAAATTGAAAAATCTGAAGCTCATCAAGGCTAGCAACTGTAGGTTCAGTATTAACATTTTAAGACTTTTGAAAACATTTATAAAGTACAATATTTGAAGATATGTCTGAGTACTTTGCAATGTTACTTAAAATTTTTATAAAATAAACTTTCTGTTCACATGTGTAAAAGTTCTTCACTTGTTTGACTAGAAAATAACCCAAAATTTCTGAAGGGTCAAAAAAGGAAGAAAATTTCACTGAAAATACAAGAAGAAATCCTTGAGAATTAATAGGTATGACTACTAATAGCAGTACAGCTATGGCATTTATGGTTCCAATGTGTAACATTTAACATAGGGTTGTATCATTTTTCTCCTTATGCATTTAATTTTTAGCACATGAGAACAAATTACTCTCATATTAAAGTGGTAGTTTGTTATTTCTGCTCTTGAAAAAATTTCATAGGCTGGAAGACTTGACTATTAAATAATAGTTTTGAAAAGCTTGTTATTAATTGTACAAGGGCCCTAAAAAATAGCTCAGAACTGAAACATGTAATCCAAGTGATTAATGAAGAATCAGGTTGATTATTTTTAAAGTTAAAGATCAAAGAATTTAAAGACCTCTTGGGATTCTTTTTTAATGAATATCTTACTGTTAAGGTCCTTTCTACAGACACTCCATGATGATTTATGGACTTGAGAATCAATTATCAAACTGGTGTTCAAATGTGCATATGGAAAGCAATTTGAATAAAAAATAAATATAGTCACCAGGAAAGGAGAGGAAAGGTATTGGGGATAATGATAATTTTGAAAAGTTAAAAAAAAAAAAAAAAAGGAAAAAAGAGTTAAGAGGACAAAAAAACCCCAAAAACCAAAATCTCAAGAAGAAGTATAATTGCACCAGTCTGGCTTTAGTTGATTTATTTGAGACTGTCATAATTTAGCATAAACGATGATAATTTAAATTGTTTGGGTCTCTTCTGGTATAAAGATTTTAATCACAGTCGGGCGTGGTGGCTCACGCCTGTTATCCCAGCACTCGGGAGGCTGAGGTGGGAGGATCTTAAGTTCAAGACCAGCCTGGGCTACAAAGTGAGCTCAAGGCCAGCCTAAACTACATAGCGAGACCCCCATCTCAAAAAAAGACAAAAATAAATAAAAAATTCAATCACTCATCTTTGCACAAAGTATGCACAAAAGTGATATAAAATAAAACTAGTTTTTTGCGCTGTAAGAATATTCTAGTGAAGTCTCACACAAACAATTGCAAATTTCAGGGAGTGGTGGCTTATGTCTATAATCCCAGCACTGGGGAAGCTGAGGCAGGATTGCTCAGAGTTCTAGAGGTCAGCCTCGGCTACACCGTGAGTTCAACACTGCCTAGACTACACAGTGAGACTCTGTCTCAAAAACAAAACAGACAAGACAAAACAAAACAGCATTCCATCCCTACCCCATCTGCAAGCTGATTTTGAAAGCAAGGGCTGGGCATTCTGAGGAAGAAGAGATCAGGTGATGAGACACTGGAAGAGAAGTGAAACTTCTAGGTCTAAGTGACTGATACACGTTTACTCGTCCTTCCAAAATTTCCCTGGAGATCATAGGACTCACCAAGGAAATTAAACCTGTACCACAGCCCAGTGATTCTGAAGAATTCTTTGAAGATTCAAAGCAAATGAGCTTCTACTGATGGATAAGCCAGAAGTTTCGCTTTCAAACATGTAAAGATGTGGCCCTCTTGGTGCAGGGACAGCATCTCAATCTCATAAAACAGAGAGAAGAAGGCAGAATCAGAGGTGAGAGCCATTCTTTCAAGTGAGAATAGAAATGTCCACCAGAGAGCAAGATGAATTTTAAAAATTTCCTCCCCTAGAGATAAATCTGTGAAATTTAAAATCAAAGATAAAGAAAAGACAGGACATAAAACCTTTCAGAGAGAGGAAAACAGATGACAGTGCAGGAGCGGGAGTCCCTGGGAGAAGGCGGCAGTCTTCTCATCACCATGAGTGGTGTTTGAAGGCCAGTAGATGAAAGCCTCCGTGCTCTGAGGTAAAATGTGAACCTGGCATTTTCTGTCAGCCATTACTGAGAAAGTGTGAAAGCAAGGTAGAGACTTTTGAGGGACAGGGGGACTGAACGGCTTTATCTTAAAAGTTCTACTGTTAAAACAAAAGCAAAGTTCCACTGTTATCAAAGTAGCTCCTTGTAAAAGTAGCTCGCCAAGTAAATGTTACTGGGTTTTGGGTTGCTCGCCTTTTGGTTCTTTACATCTGGAACAAAGAATTGAATGAAATGAGCAAAAGCAGTGGCAACATTTATTTGAGAAAGTAACAGTGAGGAGTGAGAAACTGGCTCTGCAGAGTAACCTTGGGCTGAGTAGAGGAGGGAAAAGCAAGATAAAAAGTATATCCTGGAGGAAGCAGGGCAGGCTTAGTGAGGAAAGCATGACAGCAGGTTCTTGGTGTGTTTCCCTTTGTACTGTCCAAGTCTCGGGGAAAACCATGAGAACATCTACACACGGGTCCTGAGAGGCAGTACTCAGGTCCCCTACCTCAGGCTGAGGTCAGAATGCCGTCCTATTTGTGTTAGTCAGGGGTTGTGAGGAGAACAATTAGAATCGGGACACAGAATTTATATTATTTATAATGATCACCCAAAGTTTAACACAAGAAAGTACAGGAAATTTGTCTATAATACTAAAAACAGAATATTCAGCCAAGGGCCTGGATCCCACAGCAATGTCCTGCATGAAGACCTAGAGCCCATGACAATGCCTCCCACAAATCCAACTGGCGGTTTAGAGCCCACGAGAAGGATTCACGCCGGTCTTTTTTTTTTTTTTTTTTTTGGTCTTTTTCCTTTTTATCGGTACCGAGGATCAAAGTCACAACTGCCTGCTTGCAAGACAGGCGCTTATGCCGCTGAGCTAAATCCCCAGCCCCCTACGCTGGTCTCTTTTATGGATCTAAGCTGGGAAGGCCCATAGATCAGTGATGGAAACTAGGAAGTCTATGCCAGCAGGGTGAAAGAGCTGTGCTGGTAGGTTGAGAGTTCTACGCTGGAGCCAAGAAGTCATGCTCAAAGTAAGAACCAGAGCTTGCCTGAAAAGCACCACAGCCATCCTCAGCAACATGGAGATCCCAAAACTCACACTGGGGAAGCTAGACATGATGAGCTCCTCCAGGAGAACCAACAGCTCAAAACAGCAACACTTAGAGAAACCCATAATGCCTCGCTCTTCTCCTACAAGTCTCTATTTATGCTGGCAGATTTCCTCAGGTAGGCCATCTCTGCTCAGCACTACACTGGTTTAAATCAGCTGGTGTTAAGCTGCCCATCAATTTTTAATCTATAACATTACTGGAAACCTGCTCGAGTTCTTGGAGAAGTCCACATCCAGGGCTTTGAGAACTGTTCTATACAGGTGTTCTGGGGTCCTATAATTAACAAGTCACACCTATGTTCCCAGCCAGCTTTCCCACACCCTGATCTGCTGTCACTCCCAACATCTAGAATCTGAATAATGGGAGTTCTCTATGCCCAATGTGTGTCTGGCTAATTAGTTTTCTTAAAAAAAAAAAAAATCACACTAAGATATCATGAAATTCCTGATGACTAGATATGGAGAAGCATCTAAACTCTTCCACAGAGAAAAAAGAAAGTCACATGTAAAGGATCAGTAACTAGAATGGTATCAGACCAAAGAAACATTTGAAATTACAGGATAATAGAGAAACGCCTTTGAAATTAAAAAAGAAAGTATTTTCTAACCTAAAATCCTATACCCAATAAAAGCATTAGTCACATGTGAAAACAGTATAAAGGTATTTTCAAAAGTGCACACAAAATGTTTCATTCTATGGATCTGTCTGGGGATGGTTTAGGAAGAGGAGGTACTTAACCTAAACAGAAGTGTAAGACAAGTCATAGAGGCCAGGAAATAGGAAACATGCCAGGGAGATGCCTGGGATCCGCTGGGCATGGAGAAAGCATAAATTAAGCTTGACAGCTTGTGCCAGCTAACCTGGAGAACAGCCTGACCAGCCAGGTGCAGGAGGGCGGAGGGCTGAAGTGTTGCTCAGGGGTGGAGCTGCTGCTTAGCTCGCATGATCCCCAGGGATACAAAGCAGGAGGGATGGTACCAAGAAAATGGCACAGCGGTTAAAATTACTGACATAATTCAGTTTGTTCAAAGCCCTTCAGTTTAGTCAGAGAATTCGGAGACTGAGTAATAGGCATCAGAAACTACACAGCTCACAGAGTTGCAGAGTCCACATTGTCATGATATAAACACTAACTGTCCATTTAGCCAAAAACTGCTAGAAAAGTGCTAGAAGTTAGAGAAGAAGACCACATACACAGGAGGAACGTGTGTGCATGGGCTGGGTACCGAGGGAGCACACAGCCTGAACACTTCATTTTACATGGTAAGAGATGTGTAATATTGTAAACTTTTAAAAGTAACAAACAGAATCATGAGCATGTTTTCAAGGTGCTGAACACCTCTGTAACACAAAACTCTGGGAGGCTGAGGCAGAAGGATACCAAGTTCAAGCCCAGTCAGGTCAACTTAGCAATTTAGTAAGACAAGGGCTGGGGATGTAGTTCAGGGCGAAGGCCCTGTGTTCAATCGCCAGTATCAGAGGAAACACAAAACAAACCTGAGAACAGAGCTACAAAGTTGAGCAGGGTCCTACCAAAAACTGGTAAAAGAGAAGTGTGTTTCTCATTTTAAGCTGTGTAAAACAATTTTAATTTTGAGGTTATTAGTATACACTAACTTCATAAAAATGGAAGTAATATTTCAGGAAGAAACTACAAATAAAAATACAAAAAACATCAAAATCTGAAAGATGACAAAATGTCATAATTTTGCACTACTGAGAACACTGGACAGAAAGGGAGGGTATACAATGCACCTGGACACCTGAGTTGTTGAAGTTTTGTGACAAAGGATACTTTTTCGTCATTTGGAGGCAGGGTTTCACAATGCAGCCAGGGCTCCTGAGTGCTGGGATTACAAGCATGCACCACTGCACCTGGAAGGATTAATTTTTTTATAAATTAACCATACTTCTAGGATTTAATGTGAATAATATACTATATAAACATCCTGTAAATTTGTCAGCTTCTGTTTTTTAAAGAATCAACCCCTCAATCCCTGCATTTGGGAAGCTGAAGCAGGAGGATTGCTATGAGTCTGAGGCCTGAATTACATAATAAATGATTCTGTCTCAAAAAAATAAAGAAGTTTAAAGAAATGAAAGAAAAACAATATGTAACAAGTTAGGAGGAGCACAGGAAGGGGGAGGGATTCCATGAAGAGCTCCATGACCTGCCTTCCTATCAGAGAGCTACAGGGTTCAGTGAAGGTTAAGTAACCACATGTTATTCAGGACGGAGATGATGGGAACCACCAGGACATCTAAAACTCGGAACTTCTGAGGCTGGTAACCTCTGAAAAACCGAACTGGGAAACTTACAGACTATAATGCCAGTCTGTATAATTGTATTTTTCCTTGAGACAGGATCACTACGTAGTTCAGGCTGGCCCTGAATTCACTATGTAGCCCTGGTTGGCCTTGAACCCCTGCCTCTGCCTCCCCAGTGCTGTGATTACAGATGTGCGTACTAAGCCCAGCTGCCAGTCTGTGTACTGAAAGAAAAGTCATACAGGGAATATAAAAGGCTCAAGGGACACTGATGGAGGCACATCTTATCTCTGTACAGACTGTCTCTGTACACGATAGGGATAATGTACCACGCTACACCATGACGGAGAGTTCCAGATTTATAACAGAGTCTTACTCAAGTTCCAGATTTATAACAGACATAATCTTTCTCCCCCAAATTATTGAGTGGGTTTTTGTTTTTTGGTACTGGGGATTGAATTCACAATCGTGTACTTGCAAGGCAGGCACTTATGCCATTGAACTAAATCCCTGGCCCTCTCCCCAAAATTATTCATAGGATTCTTTTAAGTAACTGCACATCAAAGCTGTCACAGTTGCTTTCACCATTTTATAGTGGAAGGTAGGTTTGGGATTAGACAAATGAGTCTGCTTGATGTCACTGCCAAATGATGACTTACCAGAGAGAAAAGAGTGTCTCAGGTAGAGAAGACATAAACTTCTGAAGAATACACTCCAATTACAGGAGCATTTGAAGGAATCCCTATATATTCTAGTGTCCAATGCAGCTGCAGAGTTCCATTTAGTAGGCAGAGTCCTAACCTGGGCTTCATGACAAGGACATTAAAATCTAGAAGAATAAAGATGAGGTGAATTCTGCCTGAATAATGAAGTGTTTCCATTATGCATTATCAACAACTCAATAAAAATTCTGTCACATCAGTATGATTTAGGACAAGGCCAAATAACCAAAGCTTGATGCCTTGTCTGTGACATGCAATTAATACCATCCTGCCAATGAATTTATGCAACACAAAGCTATGCACAAAATTATAAAGTCTAAGACAGATAGGCACTTCTTAAAAACTCAAATGGAACGGTAATAATTATCGCTTTATCACCTGTAAATAACATAAAACAATTATTTTTGTTTGAGAGTTATAGATCACATATATCATCATATTCTTATGTCAAATTTACCTACTTTGCTCTGTCAGCACAAGGATGGATTTAAACAATTTATTTGAAGTATTTGGACATATGAATGTGTGTGTTGGGGGTGGTAAGCGAGTGAAAACAAGTTTTATGTACCAGTTATCAACATACTGGCTCTCAGCTCCAAGGCTACCTTTCCTTGCTGGCTTTGTGGCAGCTGGCCCAGGACTTGACTCTGACCCTCTCCTGTCAAGTAGATACCAGGCTGTCACTACCTATGTCCTCACTATTATCATGCAGCAAGTGACCTGTGCAAATGAGGCTTGTGGTGCCCATTGCTGTTCCACAACACTGCCCACAAGCTCTGGCTGCTTTCCTCACCACCAGCCGGCTGTGTGCCAGATCAAGGAATTTCACTCGGCGGAAAGGGCAGGCTCCGTATACTCTATGGTTTCTTCACTGCTCTTTTCAGCAAGAGCAAAACTCCAAGCTCAAGGCCAAATCGAGGTGCAAACAAACACAAACAGCAACAGACTGAGAATGTACTCTGTCAGCAATAAATCCTAATCCTTCGTCACCCCAGTTACTTCACACACAACTGTGGGAGCACTGCACCAGGTCTAAGAGGTCAGTATTAGTCGGTTGCGCTGTGAACTTGCAGCCTAATTCTCATTACTACGCCTGTCTTAGAAATGTGACCCATTAACCCAGCTTCAAAGTTGTATTGGGCTGGGGCTGAGCTCAGAGGCAGAAGCGAGCTTTAGCACATGGGAAGCCCTGGGTTCTGTCTCCGGCACCAAATAAATGAACGAGTAACTACGATTCTAACCTTGGAAAATTCCAAACCTGGAAAAGGAAATATACCAGCTAAAAGGGTAGTTTTCAGATTTGGAAGAAACTTCTGGCCAGTCTGGCAAATTTGAAAGAAAATAAAATCTAGAATTCAACAGCAAGATGCAGCAAATTACAGCCTGCTGCTTCCCATAAATAAGTGTACTGGATCAGGTGCACCTAGTCAGTTACTTTTTTCACACCCAGTCATTAGGTACTATGATTATTAATTCCACGCACAGTACACAGACTGCATGGCCCATGGACCCTAAAATATGCGCTATCTTGCTCTTCATAGAAAATGCTGCTAAACTCCCCACACCCCAGGGGTTAGATAATCAGTACTTAACGTAATTACTGATGGAGCTGGGTTTAGATGTCTTTTCTTCTGGTCTGTCTCTGGGATTTTTTTTTTTAACTTCTTTTGGTTTCTGTTTCTTGCCTTTGTGTTTGCTTTTGGAGTACTCATTAGTAAAACATTTTAATATCTAATGGTTATACATATCATTTTAATGATTGCTCTAGATTAAAATATTCATAAATTTTTATAGTTTCAATTATTCCTAATACATTTCTTATGAAATATAAAAGCTAAGTAACCAAAAACTGGGAGCAAGTTGAGACTGAATACAGACAACGTGCAGAGTATGTGGCAACAGAACTCTGACCCACAACAAAGCCAAACCACAGTCCCTGTGGTCATCTAGTCAGAACGGTCAGGGCTTCAACACCCCAGAGATTGTTCCACTTCCAACTCAGGACTAGTGAGACAAAGCCAAATGTGTTCCCCAAACAACCGTAGAAAATACCTCTTCTGCTTTCTGGTCAAGCTCCAATTATTCCCGGCAACAGCTTGCAAACTGGCCTGAAGCTGCCATTTATTTTCTTTCCTCCCCCATTGTAAAGCTGTATAAATATACACTGTGCTTACCAAACACTTTTTTGCAACATGCATGAAATTGTCTGTTCTCACTTTGGATGTGGTCTTTATTTCTACAACTTAAATGTACAATAGCATAATAACTGTGATTTACCAGCATTCTGTATTATGATACATATGTCAAGGCAAATGAGTAAGCTACAGCTACATACAATGTGGACTATACAAAAATGTTGACAGAAAAGACGGTAAAGAACACAACATAGGTGGATGTGGTGGTGCACACCTGTAATCCCAGCACTCAGGCGGCTGGGACAGGAGGATCACTGTGAGGTCAAGACCAGTTTGGGCTATAAAGTGAGCTCAAGGCCAGCCTGAACTGTGTAATGAGACCCTGCCTCAAAAATACAAAGAAAAAAAAAGAATACTTAACAGCATTTCATTTAATTTACTCAAGTGTATAAACCAAAAGTACAGTACAAAACACACACACCCACACTTTGCAGATCCTTTGGCATTGGAGCCTCCTTCAAAGTTTGGCCAAAACAACTCTCTCTCCCTTAGTCTTTTTCTCCTAAACATTACTCAGAGGCACAGCACTCAAGTCCTCTTGGGCTGCTGGTCAGTGTCCAGTTCTGGACTGTGTGTGGCTTCCCAGATTCCCTGGTTACAGCAAAGCCCAAACCCCTCCAGGAGTTTTGGTCTGTCTGCTCCATCCACTGTCCCAACCTCAGGTGGCTGGAGGCAGCCTATCTTGGAATGTTTTTAATACTGCCTGGGACACTGGCCAGCCGACAGAGGGTGAAACAAAGGAAACCTCTGACCTGAACCTCAATGAACAACTGGATGAAAGGCACAGGACACATTTCTGTGAAGGCGAAAAGGTCTGCATTGCCCTCCTCGGCCCCATCAAGCTGCACCACGAACACGGGCTGTTGACCTAGGAGGTGCAAAGCTAGAAATAAAGGGTTGCAGATAAATAAAAACCCCAAAGCTCTTTCACCATAGTTTAGTACTTTTATCACTAAGCACTCCCCCCTTGTTCAAATTTTTATTACTAGAGTTCCAAAAAGTTAATTTGAACAATTTTTATATTAAAAGTTGTTGGAGTAGAGCAGATCTTTGAAGCTCCCTGGGCTGCCAGTTTGAAACATCATTCTCTATACAATACTTATAAATACAGTGGACCCTCGGTTATCAACCTCTATTCGTTCCAAATTTATGTCTGAACACTGTAGAGTTCAAGAACTGAACATACTTTTCCCATAAGATATAATAATGGAAAACCAAATGTATTGGTACCTCGGTTCATGAATTTCATGCATCCCATGTTTCTGGAAAAGGTGATCTTTGGGTCTGTCACCTGATGCAGGGTTCTTTTTTTTTTTGGTACCAGGAATTGAACTCACAACCTCACGCTTGCCAAGCAGGCACTTACGCCCCTGAGCTAAATCTCCAGCCCGTAACACAAGGTTCTCAAAAAAAAAAAAAAAAAAAAAAAGAAAAGAAAAGAAAAGAAAAAAGTCGAATGTATTCATGAATCAAGGTTTTGCTGTAATTCGTTCTGAGGCCCAAAAATTACATGAATAAACTCATTTTTCCAGAACTTTAACAAATTTTGCAATGATCTCTTTTGATTGAGATTCGTTTTTCCTTAACTTTACTGCTGGTATCACTAACTTTCTTTGGAGTCATAGGTATGATATACAAGTAAAAGTGCAAAATAAAAAAAAAGCTCACAATGGCAAAGCACTATAAGCTGTCACAGATTAACACAAGCATCATATGGTGTCAGGGTGAGACCAGCACTTAGAACAAAGCATCATCCCTCTGTGTCTGTAGTGAGATGTGATGCATGATTCCCTCCCAGCTTGTACAGGTTTTTCTAGTAAGCTTTTTGGTTCCACTGGTCAGCAAAGTTACAAACACCAAACAGATTTTTGTAAACTTTCCTCTTCTAGTGGGAAGTTCAAATTTGGAACTGCTTGACAACTAAATTTTAGAATTAAAGGGTAAGTTAGTGGTTGCCAAGAGCTGAGGATAGATGCAGGAGGGAAGGGAATGTGGTTATGAAAAAGTAACTTGAGGGATTCTCGTCATAGTGGGGATGTTTAGGACCTTGCTTCTGGCAGGGGACAGATGAACACAAATGGTAAAGCTGTTTGGAACTAAGCACTCATAGATTATAAAACTGGGAAATGTACAGAAAATGGATGGATTGCATCTGCTTTAATTTCCTAGTGATGACATACTGTACTTTACAAAATATTAATATTGGGGGAAATGGAACCAAGTTCTGTTACAGTACTGTGCAAAGGATTTTTGGATTATCTTTTACAACTCCATGTGAATTTACAATTAATTATCTTCACAAAAGGTATAATTAAAAAAAATCAAACTAGAGATGAAGATGTTTCAGGAATATCTGTGGTTATAATTTTTTTTAAATATCCAAAGTTAGATAGAAAAATGTGATGTTTAAATAAATCTAAAGTAGCCTTTTGTAAGGAAAGTAAATTTGTAATACAAAGCATCATGCTGTAGTATAAGTCATTATGATTTTTTCTTTATTCTTCCTTTTTTTTTAAGGTCTTGCTATGTCATCTAGGCTGGTCTTGAACATGTAACATGCAATCCTCCTGCCTTGGCCTCCCAAGTGCAGGATTACAAGTGAACACCATTAGATGGCTTGTGACTTTTAAGTTGTGTATGAAATAACAGTACATATTAAAATCAATGGCATCTTAGATCTGTTGATAATAGTACAAACTTCTAAGTAAAGGGCTTGGTTTACAAGTCTGTTTTGACTCAGGATGCCAACTTTGGCATCAATCATCAGTGTTGTGGCTCAACATTGACAGTCTCTCACAGTGTTATGGTTGGTGTCTGAGTGGCCCACAAAGCCGCATGCAGTTGTGGATATAATTGGTTCGTTGTCTAGCGCTAGGATTGGCAGTGTAAGTGCTGTACCTGCCAAGGGCGGAGCTAGCATACAATATAAGGGAGGAAGAAGGCATGTTTTTTCCCTTTTGTCTTTTCTGCACTTGCTGTTTGCAGCCTCCATGAACAGTTGCCCCTCAGCCAGGCCACCCTGCCTTAGAGCCAGCTGAGTATGGCCTGAAACCTCCAAAACTATAAAATAACTAAAACTTTCCTTGATTTATTTTGGATATCAGGTATTTATCTCGTCTCAAAAATGAGAAAAAAATAACCAAGACATAGTACAACAGGATAGACTGAGTCAGAAAGCAAAATTTTTCATGTTTCTGTTTACAATATACAGGACAACAAAAATTCAGGAACAATGGGAAGGAATGTATAAAACAGAAATGGAAGAGATTATAAAATGATTTTTATATTAATACTTCAAAATTTTCAAACACTTGTCAAATAAAAGTCATAGAACTCAAAGTGCTATATAATTGTTAGTCTTTGACTGAAACTTCTATAGAAATTATTGATGAAAACTCAAAGTTGTTAAGTAAACTTATGTCTGACCTTGTATTACTTATAGATGTCAAGATGATCATGGTTAATACTAAATTAAGCCTTCGTAGAGTATGATTTATGCCCAATACTGATTTACTAACTCAAAAATATCCCAAGAACTCATTATCAAGTGATGAGCTTTATTTTAAAAAATCATCTTTATCAAAGTTTTAATCTTAAATACACACAAAATGGTTCCTAAATGAAACACAAAGCTATTTTTCCTAATAGCACAAATTTTGTCATAGTCTTTTTGTTTGTAAACTTTTTCCTTGACATGAAACTGAAAGAAAAATTTAAGTATATAAAAAAAATCATAGGTTACTTTGTGTATTTATCACTTTTAACAAATGTCTTAGGATGTAAGTAGTATATTAAGACCATAAATCATTGTATCTTACAGTACTGTTATTACACAATTATTTACAAAATTATTTTGTTGTATCTTGTGAGGCTGAGTCTAGCTTACAATGAGTTGGGAAACAGAACTATTTTTTTCCCCTTCTATGAAGTTTTAAATTTTTTGCTGGGACAGAATTTAGGGGTTGGGTAATGTTCAATGTATTTACATTTTATCAAACAGATTCTAATGCATAATTTTACAGCACATATCATTACTAACACTGACAAAAATAAATTAAGAGTTTGAACATACCTCAGTGACAAGCATGTTGTAAATGCAACATAGTTATCAAAATATTTAACTGTTGTATTAAACCTCAAGAGTCACATTCAGTCTTCACTGTCTGAGCAAATCAGTTTTAGTCTCTTCATGGTCCTCCATCGGTCTTTCAACATAACACTTGTTCGGTTGTTGAATTTGTAACGTAACAGTATTTTAGACCAGTTTCCCTCTCCATATTTCCTCACGCCAGATTTCAAATTCTTGTCTTCTTCCCAAAGCCATGGCTTTTGGTAAAAAAAAAAAAGAAGTTACTCACATGAACAATTCTTTGAAAGGAACAAAGCTGATATAATACAACTTTTCAAAAATCAACTTCTTAAAGAATTTCTCTATATAGTTTCTAGATTTTTATAAGACACTGTATAATAACTTGCTAAGGGTAATTATTGCTCATTTTATATAAGCTCACCTGCCAAAGGTTGGAACGCTAGAAAGTGACAGAGCTTCTACCTCCATTCTGTTCAGCTTTACGTTCACACTGCCTGCCAGCTCTTTAGAAGTAGAGGACTGGAGATTGCACACAGGGCCTCCACACTAAGTTTCATCTTTCACCACTTTTTATTTTTTATTTTAGACAGGGTATCACTAAGTTGTTAAAGGTTGGGCTCAACATTTTCCTGCCTTAGTCACTTAGAATTTGAGACTACAAATTCATGCCACCACACCCAGCCCTCATATTTCCTCTTGATCCTTTTATGTAATTCTTAAAAGACTCCTTCATAATTCTAAATAGAATTTATACACGTTTAGTACTCATTTAATGAACTCTGAAAATTCTGCTCTACTTGTGTTGGGGGAAGTACACACAAGGACATAAAGCTGATGTCCTCTAAAATGAATTTGCAAAAATTCAACATAAATTTAAGACATATTTTATGTTGGCAGCAAGTAACTGCAATTTAAAGAAGCTAGGGATTTGGCTCAGTGGCATAAGCGCTGGTCTGGCAAGCGTGAGGTTGTGAGTTTGATCCCCGGTACCAAAAAAAAAGTATATAATTCATATATGGTAAAACTACTGACTTTTGGCATTTGCTACAGACGACCAACTCTTGAGATCTGACCATGACTGATTATGCCTACACTATAAGAAATGCCCCAGCAGACTTCCACATTTTTGAAGAAAATTTAGCTTATCACCTTACACTACTAAAAAAAATAATCTCAGCACACTTGGGAGACTGAACAAGGAGTAAGTTTGAAGCCAGTGTGGACTATAAGGTGAGACACTGTCCCCAACACCCAAACCAAAACAAACCAACTAATCAAAACATTGGTAAGCAAGTGGAGGAAATGAAATCCATATGCACAGTCAGTGGGATAATGACACAAACATGGCAGCTGCCCCAAACAAGCAAACAAAACTACCATACAATCCAGCAATTCCACTTCAGGGTGTATGCCTAAAAGAATGAAAGGAGGGCTTCTGAAAGATGTTTGTACTCTCATGTTCATAGCTGCATTATTCATAATAGCCACAATGTGGAAATAAATGCATGAATGCATGAATAAATGAAGCAAGACGTGGTATACACACATTAAGATGGCAAACATTACATTATATGCAATTATATGTATTACAATGAAAGAAAAAGGTAGTTTCTGGTGTTTGATGCAGTATCAGAAAAAATCTAAAGAAAAGTGAAGAAGCCTGAAGAAAGTGGATGATTCACAACCATAAAAAGTGGCAGTGAACACAACCATATCCCTTGTGAAGTTGGAGCCGCCATAAGCCTGATTCCTCTGTCCTTACTCTTTATCTGCATTGTGACTTGAACCCAAGAAATGGTCTCTTCTATACCTGCTTTTGCCATTGCCTGTCTGTGACACTAGCACCAATTCTGCTGCCTACAAATTCCTGGTCACTGAGTCTCTAGACAAAACTGACATCTTCCTATGCTTATCTATGGCTGACTGACTTAACCTCTTTCTTACTACAAAGCCTCATTAACAGATAAAAAAGCCAAAAGGAGAAGCTGGGAGTGGTGGCACAGATCCCAGCTCTTAACGGCTGAGCAGGAAGGATACTGAATTCAAGTTTATCCTACACAAAGTCCCCTGGACTACATGGTGAAACCCTTCACAAAGCAAACCAAACCATGTAGGTGTCTCCCCGCCTTAAGTTACAAGTGATGAATTGACTGTTGTAACTTTAATGTTGATGACTACTATGCAAACATAATTTAAAAAAATACCTGTTTTTTCCTAGCTCTCCGGTTTTCATGAGTTACTGTCTGATTTGTTGAGACAGGTTCTTTAGTGTTTCTTCTGTGTTCCTTTCTTCCACCTAAAATTTAAAAATACTAGCATCAACATTGTTTCATATCAAATGAAAATGAGGAAGGAATGAAGTTTTTGAAGGTCATAGTAGATTTAAAGATCCTGTTCGTTTTTAGCAACTCTAAGAACTCCCTGTCTACATTTTTTCCTTCAAATCAAACCTGGAAGCAGCATGATATGAGGATCACAGTTGTTGAAAATCAGAAGGGGAGTATTTTGCATCTTCATTCTTTTTATGTCTTTAAAAAACTTATATTCTTGAGCCTAGTAACCTCAGTACTGTGGGAGGCTGAGGCAGGAAGATGGCAAAGTTGAAGCCCAGCTTTGGTAATTCAGTGACTTAGCAAGACTTTACTTCAAAGTATACAAGAACCTGAAATGTAGTTCAGTGTGAGGGCCCTAGGTTCAATCCCCAATAAATTTCCTGTCCCTGAACCACCCATACAGAAAAAAAACACAGGATTTAAGTTTTCTTTTAACAATGTTTACAGTTACATGATGTAAAACGAGAAGCATGGGCCTTTTCTCCTTTTTATTTTCTTCTTTCTTCTTTTTTTTTGAGGCAGTCTCACTATACAGTTCAGACTGGCCTTGAGCTCATTACGTAGCCCAGGCTGGCATCAAACTCTTGGTGATCTTACTTCTTTCTTATTCATAGTCAATTTGGTAAGTCAAGAAATAAATGCGTGTACGTAACAGACAAGAAACAGAACTACAATTATGAAAAGATGGTAAAAGCATACAGAACTTAAAAGAATCTACAAATAGAGTAGAGTAGGTTGGCTATAACATCAGTATACAAAAGGCAATATATACATAAACATGTTAAAGATACACATTTTGTTTGAGTAGGAACACACAATTGTCAGTTTATACCAAAGTGATCTAATTGTTGTAGTATAGTTTCAAATAAAAATTTCAACAGAGTTCTTTGTGTAACTTAACAAGATTCTCCTAAAATTGCTGGGATTACAGGTATGGGCCACCCTGCCTGGCGAACAGCGATTTTAATATTAAAAGAACTACTTCATAAGTGCCAGAATATATACATACACACACGGAAAAAATAAACCACACAGTTTTCTTTCAGTAACTGATAAAATGTGTAGGTAGCGAACAAGATGAACAATATTTGAACAGCACTACTAACAAACTTGTCCTGGTATTTTAAAATATTCCATTCAACAACAGCTTCTAATTTGCATTCTTTTAGGAGTTCATCAACAGCTGCCAAGATAGACTGGACTCTGGACCTTTAAGGATCACAGAAAAGATAAGAACTGAGAGGTCTCACTAAGTCACTAACTTGCTTGACTGGTCTCAAATTTGTGATGCGCCTGTCTCAACCTCCCAGAGGATTGGCAGGAGAAAGAAAGGAAGGGGTGATATGGCTTATATCTAGATGTGTCCCCAACTCATGTGCTTATAGGTAAAGTTTTTGAGAGGTGACTCTACCAGGGTGTGATGCTAGATTAATCCACCAATTGGTTTAGTGTAGTTCTGGGCATGGATAGGGTTCCTGAAGGGGGCAGAACCACCGTGGGTGTGGGTGGTCCCAACCAACAGGCTTACAGTCAGGATGGAATAAAAAGGAAAAGAACGAGGCCTTGTCACTTTCTGCCTGTTACGCCATGTTCTGTTTCTCCCCTTTGAGGGACCTCTATCACGCCACGATGCACTAGAGCCAGTCGACTATGGACTGAAACCTCTACTAACTTTCCTTCTTTAATTTGTGGGTTTCAGGTATTTTGTACCAGCAATGAGAGAGTACCTAAGACAAGGAACAGGAAAAGGAAAGAAAGAAGTCAAACCATCATTTTTAGCAAATGATATGATCCTCCACACAAGAGGTTCCAAAAATTTCACCAAAAAAACCCCTCCTAGTCAATTTCAGCAATGTAACAGGCTACAAAATCACAAAAATAAACAGCATTTCTGTATGACAATAATAAACTCACTGAGAAAGAAATTAGGAAAATAATACTTTTCATAATAGCATCAAGAAAAATTAAATACTTAGAAATTAATTCAACCAAGGAAGTGAAAGATCTCTACAATGAAAACTACAGCACTTTGAAAAAAAAAATCACAAAGTACATCAGAAGATGGAAAGATAAACCATTTCTGGACAGGGAGAACCTATAATTAAATGGTCATAATTCCAAAACTGATACATGGATTTAATGCAGTCCCAATTAAAATACCAACAGAATTTGTCACAGAACTAGTAAAAACAATTCTAAAATTCCTATAGCATGAGAAGCAATAGAGAGCATAAAATCACAATCCTGGAATTTAAGTTATAATACAAAGCTATAGAAATAAAAAGAGTATTGGCCAACCTCCTCTCCTCCCCAAAACCCAAAAAAGTAGATATATCAGTGGAACAGACTAGGGAACATGCTAACAACTCTAGGCACACTGAGATAGCTAATCTTTGACAAAAGGGCCAAAAATACATACTAAAGAAAAAACAGCCTCTTTGACAAGTGGTGCAGAGAAAAATGGCTGTGCACATGCAGAAGACTGAATCTACATCCCTACCTTTTACCATATACTAAACTAAAATAAAAATAGATCAAAAATCTAAACATTAAAACAAGTACTTCATCTGCTGGAAAGCAGAATAGGCAAACTCTTCGAGGGTATAGGCACAGGCAAGGTCCCTCTGAACATAACCCTAACTGCGCAAGACAGAATACCAAGAAACAACAAATGCGATCACATCCAAGGAAAAAGCCTTTACGTAGGCCAACAAAAAAGCCAACACAGCGGGAAGACAACCTATAAAACGGGGTAAAGATTTTGCCTTCTGTTCCTTAGACAGAGGACTTATATCTAGAATATACATAGAACTCAAAAAATTAGATACCCCAATGCAAAAGATCCAATTAAAAAAGGGAAAGCGTGGGCATGAAAGAAGAAAAAACAAGCCAAGTACAGTGTTACACACCTGTAATCCCAGTATTTTTGGAGGCTGAGGTAAGAGAATCACAAGTTTGAGCTTAGGGCAGAGAACTTAGTGAAACTCTCTCTCCAATAAAAATTTATAAACAAAAACAACTCATATAAAAACAAGAAACAGATTGGTTACCAGATTTTCCCAGGGTAGCACTCAAAATTATGTTTGCAAAGTTGTGATAAAGAACTGATAATGTGGATGTAAAGATCAACAAATTATAGTAGCTATAAGTTATTAAAAATAAAAGTAAATCAGGGCCAGGGATTTGGCTCCTTGGCATAAGTGCCTGCCTGGCAAGTGCGAGGTCGGTACAAAAAAAAAAAAAAAAAAAAAAAAAAACAACAGTTATGTGTTGATCAGCTGATAAAAACGTTGTGACCAAAGGCTCAAAAGAATCTAACTCAACATTTTCTGTAGGGGTAATAATTCAGTATTTGTAACTCAGTGGTCTTTGAATCTTTAAAAAAATATACCTACTAGTGCATAATGAGATTTGATTATATATATCTCAAAAAAGTATCTACTGGAAATTACTGCATACAGCAATGACAGCAGAGTAGTATTACTAGCACAGCAAAAGATACCTAAGCTAGGCAATAGTTTTCTAAATTAAACAGCACTTCAAACTTTATTATTTAAGCCCTTTGCTGCTTTGGCTTTCTGAAGTGTGCATCTTTTTGTGTTAAACAGGTGTTTCTCTTTGTTACAGGGTGAAGCCTATCATTTGATCATTTTGAGAACATATCATCTTTCCAGTGCTGAAACTGCATTAAGTAGTACTCACTTTGAAGAACTCCCACTCTTTCTTTCTTATTAAGGTCTTGCTGACAGTTTCCTTGTTTCAACTTAGATAAGATGTTCTTGTGAAACCTAAATAAAATGCAAAAGCTTGTGATTGATTTGAAAAAGACAGAGGGCAAAAAAAAAAAAAAAAAAAAAAAAAAACCCCAGACAATTTATCTTGAGACTGAGCCTGCTTATTTTGGTGCTCTCCTTGCCTACGGTCCGACATTAACCTTTTACCTTAAAATTTCTGCTGTCAGGCTTTTTTTTTCTCTCTCTCATCTCTTTTCTCTACTTCATTTACTCAGAAATTAAGACAGCCTTTTAGATTAAGAAAAAAATTCTTCAAACTATATACTTTTATCTCTATAAACATTCTATGCAACCAACTAACAATCTCTCCTCTTTTCCTCTTTCTCCACACCTTCTATTGTGCGCCTTGGAATGCCTTTCTCAACTCCTTCGCCAGTTCTTCTGTCTCTCCTTGGGGAACAATTATTTCTTTCCTTTGTGGCCTTTTCAAGTAGAGAATGGCTTAATCTTCCATCCTCCATAAACTAGAGCATCCCAGAAATGGGTCTTTATAGTTGACCTTTTGTAGTACTGGGGTCAAACTCAGCACTTCACATGTGCTAGGCAAGCAATCTCATGCTAAGCAAAAACTTCAACCCGTGAGGAATCATGCTATTGAGATATTATTACCTTTTACTATCTTCATAGCCACCCACTATCGTTTGAGGCAATGTCCATCACTCACAAATCTTTCTTGCACCAAGTCCTGCTATTATGAAGAATTTCTGTGTTTTCCTGAACAAGCCTCAGAACATCCGAGCTTATCAAATCTATATCTCCCAACAATCTGCACACTAAATTAAGCTGCCTCCTCCCATGGTTCTACTTAGCATCCCAAGTACTCTATTAAAATAAATCATTCATACAGATCTTCTGTTCTCCAGACAAGTTAAATGTAAACTCCTATTCTCTTCCTGTTTTACCACTTTATTTCATGACAAAAAGTTTACTAAACATCTACTTTAAGGCCACGCCCTTCCAACAATGGCCTTGTAGAAACAATGTGAAACAGTTTGAAATTTCAACATATCAGGACCTTGAAGTTAGCAAGATCTTGAGATACTTTTATTCAGACCATTTACATAGCAGTTGTAAGAATATATTTAGGTCAAAAGACAGAAAAAAAAAAGAAATGTCAATTTATTTCACCTCAATAAGGATACTATCACTCTCTGACCATTCATTTATCACTGAAGTGTCACTAACACTTCAAAAGAAGGAAAAAAAAAATCCTAAGACCATAAACAGAAGAAACTGTTTCAGGATAGAACTACTTTCCACATGTTTCAATTCATAAAAAATCTTTGCGAATAGTGCCTGGTTATGACATGGTTAATTTTTCTCTGATATGCTTGACAGGTATAAAGTAAACTTTTCCAAACAGAAGATGGCATAGTTAATGCTGTAACATTCACAACATCACTCTTTCAAGGCTCAGTTCTTATTTCCATGAAGTTGTTTAAAAGCTTCACTGAGGTATAATGTATATGCCAAACATACTGTGTATGTTCAATGTATACCAGTTGTTGAGTTCAATTTCAATTTCTTGTCCTGTCAGTCTCCACTTGAATTTTTAAAGATTTTTCTTTGATATAGTTAAAATAGCTTCCACAAACACAGCAGAATCATATTCACCTAGATGCCTTCAATGGTTCTATTCTTCTTTCCTAAAATGACATTTCCTTTTCCATCTATCCCTAAAATCATAACCACTACTTCAAGTCCCTGTGCAAATTGGACACCTGTTAGATTTATCTCAGCTCCCTCATTTGTTTTCACTTGTTTCCTGCCTATAATTCTTACTGCCTCAAACAAATAAGCTTTATCTGAGCAAAATGTTTTAGTCTCAATAAGTTTCAATTTTTCTTGCACTTGTATGACCTCATCATCACACTTCTGACCTATGCTAGCTTCATTTGCAAACTACTGATTAGCTAGACAAGAATTCACCCTGGTAACCTTTGAGGTAGATCCTGAATAGTAAGTAAGAGCTTGCTTATGAAAGAATAAAACAAACACACACACACACACACAAAGTGAATCCAAAAAGGTAGACAGAGAACTATTTAAATAAAGATCAGTGAGAAGTTCTATGTTGCTAGAAAGTATCACGCATGGGGCCAGGAGGGAACAGCTCCCCTCCCTCTTCTTTATTAGTATCTCTGTGTAGTACACAGTTTGCATCCCTTGTGGGGAGTTGATACACGGATACATCTTCATTCCTTTTTTCATCCACTTTCTCATCCATCTCCTGATCCTCTTCCTTCTGTGTCACATTTACAAAACATATTCATACTCCTTGTGTGGAGGTGACAGGTACACATATGTATCTTAACTTCTTTCTTCATCCCCATTCCCTCCCTTTCAGTCTTCTGTTCCTCTCCCCATTTAAGAAAGATCTGTCTCCTTACTTCCTATTAACTATCTTAAAAATGTATCTCTTTCTATTTTGGGTTTCTCATATAAGAAATCATCCACTACATATCGTTAGGTGTGTTTCAGAGCCCTCAGTGGGTGTTTCAAACTAAGGAGAGCACCAAAATACATACAGTGGCAGTCTTCCTCATCTAGTTTTAATTTTTATAATTTTACTTAGTAGTTGGCCACTATAGCCTGAAAATATTAAATGAGAAACTGAAGAAATGAACAATTTATAAATTATGTACTTTCTAATAGTGCGATAAAATCCTGAATCCTCTCTGCTCTGTTCTGCATGGGACATGCACCAGACCAATGTTCAGTGTATCCATGCTATAAAACATACTTATAAACCATGCATGTAAAACACGCTTAGTAAATCTCTCAGTTTTTAAGTAACGTAAACATTTAAAAATTGCAACTTTATATGTAGGACTGGGGGTTAAAGCTAAGGTTCTAAGGAACAGTACTTAGGTAACTAAAGTGTAGTACAGTCAAACCTAGGTTCATAGGGGATAGTACTGCTATGCAAGTACTTTATCACTGAGTCTCTATAGTAACCTTCCTTACTTAATAATGGACCCAAAGCACAAAAACAAGTGACACTGGCATCTTTGGATATGCTAAAGAGAAGCTATAACATGAACTCTTTAAGTAAAAAAGTAAAAGCTCTCAACAAGGAAAAGAGAAGCATATGCCACAATGCTAAGTTCTACTGTAAAAACAAATCTTTGAAATTCTTAAGAAAGAAAATAATATTTGGTTAGGCCCAAGAGTGCATGCTTTTATTCTCAGCTACATAGGAGGCTGAGGTAGGAGGACTAAATTGGAGGCTAGCCCAGGCAACTCAGCCAAGACTTTGTCTCAAAATAAAAAGGGCTGGGGATGTAGCTCATCAGTCAAGTGATCATGGTACTGCCGTAATGACTGGAAACAAGGAAAAATAAATATATATTACTTTTTTTAGTTGCACCTCAAACTATAAATTTATGGCCACAGTGCATACATACAAGTGCTTAGTTAAGAGGAAAGGGAATTAAATTTGTGACTGGAGTCAGGTTTGATGGCACGTGCCTGTAATCCCAATACTCTGTGAGGCTGAGGCAGGAGGACTGCACGTTCAAGCTCAGCTTAAGCCAACTTACCAAGGGCCTGTCTCAAAAAGGGGGGGAGGGGTGGGGAAATGAGGATGTAGGTTAGTGAGAAGGCCCCGATATGATCCCCAGTACAAAAGAAAATGTGGGTCAAAAACGTAAACAGAAAAGATGCTCTATCTGAAGGCAACATGTCACACCCTAAAGCACTTTATAAATAGAGCAGTTTCCTTTTATACCTGGGAGATACGTTCCAAGAGCTCTAGCAGAATCCTGAAACTAAATAGTACTGAGCCTCATATATAAGCACTTTCCAAAATCTGTTGCAGTAACTTGTAGTCTGAGGTCTAACAAAATTTTTCTAGCATAACTAGAATTTTCTAGCAAAACTAGCATAAATTTTTCTTTTTGCACAGTTTTATACATCTTAGTAAGGTCAACACACAAAGTTTTACTTTCCTTATTAGGTCAATATATTTTGTCTTTCTACTTAAAGGAAGCTTCTATTTTATGGGTTTTCTGTGACATGTCCATACTGCTAACATCATTACTTTTATAGTTTGGGGCCATTATTAAATAAAATAAGGGTTACTTAAATAAGCAATGCAGTAACAAATGTTAACTGATAACTGATGCTATGGCTTGTGTTCAGATGGCCCCCTCCGTAGCCTTATGCAGTCATAGGTGGGGCTTGTTCACCTTGTTGAGAATAGTACAATAAATCACTTACATTACTTAAATGGTTTCATTTTCTTATTCCCTCGTTTTTGCTTAATGTATATAATTTGTACAAGTCATGAAGTAACTATAGGATTTCAAAGATCTAAATAATAAGTTATCAGTAAGATAACAGAACATAAAATATTTTTACTAATGATTCACTAGCATTGTTTTTACATAAAATAACATTCTTAAGACAAAAACGAGTTTACAAACCTTTTTTCTTTAATCAAATTAGCTTCAGTTTCTGTTTCATCATCACTGCCAGATTTATCTTGAGAAGCTATTATTCTTGTGTTCTCACTTTCCACTACTTTTACTGCTGCCTTAAAAAAGTGGTGTGCAGAGAGAAGCGAGAGACAAAAATGCATTAAGCCAGTTTAAGTGAAGATCTTTAAATTAAACCTTTTGTTTACTAGTCAGAGTTAATGTATCTGCTCACTAGCCAATAAAGAGCACCATGTTATTTTTTCATCAGTAATTTTAACAGTGTTGGCAACTGCTTTAGCTATCTGCTTGTTTCATAATAACTAAAGATCTTTCCTAATAAACGTTTGATAGTGTTTCTAGGATTTTAAGAAAAAAAGAAATTAAAAAACTAAACTTCAAGATATTCAAAAGTAAACCACCTCTAACTGTGATGCTCCATTGTAATATCACATTAACTTTTTAAGGCTGAAACAAAATTATGTTAAGCCAGGCATGGTGACGTGTCTGTAGCACTCTGGGAGGCTGAGGCATAAAGACTACAAGTTCCAGTCTACCCTGGGAAACTTAAGTGACTAGGGAGAACCTGACTCAAAATAAAAAATTAAGAAACAGGGAATTTAGCTTAAGTGTGAAGGCATAAAATCAATCCTATGTACTACAATAAAGGGGGCAGGGGCACAGACATAGCTCAGTGATGCCATAGCTCAGATACAACGCCCTGTGGTCAGCTCCAACACTGAAATAAATAAATATTAAGGAAAAAAAATAATCTCCTTGAACTCATCTTTTTCTTAAAAATGTTAAAAAATTTTATTGAAAATTCACTTAAAACTGAAAACTAATTTTCAATTATTTCTTAACTCATCGTAAGTTTTCCTCTCAACTTTTTAGTCTGAAAATTTCTCCAGCTCATATTCTGAAAACTGACAGGGCTCGGTGAACACTTGCCTCCCATGTGAGAAACTCAAGTCTCTATCACTAGCACTGCCAAAAAGAATAGCAAAAATATTATAGAGATCACCTACAAATCTTTCAGATTAACTAATTTTAACATTTTACATTCTTCTACAAAACCATTATGTAAAATGTTCTCCTTTATTAATATCCTTGTTCACTCCTTCAAACAATATACCTTTATTAGAAAAGTTGATGATTTTTCTCTTAGCACCCAACTCACGAAACTTCTAACTTTCTCCATCATGCGGTTGTAGCTGAAGTGTTGAAAAAAGGAGTGATATGGATCTTTCTCAGAGATTATCTTAATCAATTTCCTTTCCAATGTCTAAACAAAACAGGAAAAACATATTAATGTAAATTACAAAAATAAAATTCAAATACAAAACATTTTGTCATATTTAACTCAAAAAAATCACTTTACTAAGAAGCTTGGACACAATTACAAATTTAATTAAATAATCTGCTGATATGTATTTTTCTTTTTATGTCCCCTGCGACCACTAACTTTTGAGTTTTTGATATTTCGACACATTATAAGAGAATAAAGAGTATTATGGAACTAGACACAATGTATCTCACTCAGTGGTACAGTATCTGCCTAGCAAGCAGGAGGGTTTATGCCACCCAGGCAACAGCACAAAAAACCAAGAAAACAAAAACAAAAACCCCAACCCAACCCAACCTAATGCAACCCAAACTGAAACAAAAATTGATTGCATATTACTGAGTTTAAAAATAAAACATTATCCCAGGCATAGTGGTACATGCCTGTAATTCCAGCACTGGGGAGGCTGAGGCAAGAAATCACTCTGAGTTCCAGGCCAGCCTGGGCTACACAGTGAGTCCAGGCCAGCTTGAACTACAATAGTGAGACACTATCTCAAAACAAAACAAATGAAACAAAAGACCATTATCAGTATGGTTGAAGTCCCTGTTTACTGCCAGAATCTGTATTCCATTCCCTTCCCTCACCTCTGAATTCAGAATTTGCCATTCTCATAAATTCCTTTATAGTTGCATTCCATATGCATGTATCCATAAATACAAAGTACTGTTTAACATGGTTCTAAGATGACTTTTTTGGGTCTCCTCTTATGTACAAGTTTTTCTTGGAGAGTAGTTCACTGAATGCAAGATAGCATACACACACACACACACACACACACACACACACACACACATTCCCCATACCCATATGCTGGTAGTGCTAGGGATTGACGACATTGACGACATTCACACTGAGCTACATCGTCAGCCATTTTTTCTTTTGAGACAAGGTCTAAGTAAGTTGCCCGGGCTGCACTCAAACTTGTGATCCTCCGGTACTAGCTATCCCAGAGTATGTGCTACTATGCCTGGCAAAACCTACAGAACTTATAAAGCCTGGGATTAATAGCAGACAACTGTTACAGTGAGGCCTGGGTTTTTGTTTTTGTATTTAGGCCTTTAAAACTGCCATAAAGACACACATAGGCATGTTAGGATCTTTGGAAGTAAAACTGGCTAAAACTTGTGCTTGTAGATTTTGCTAAAATGGTCTTCAGTTTACGCACAAATTTATACTCTGGGAATGAACTTACGGCAGACAGTCTAATCATTCTCCATTTTTTGAATCATTAGTGTTAATTATTGGCCAGACTGTGGGATGGGAAATTGTATTTCAGTGAATAACGGTATTTGGTATTGCCCTGATAGGCATTAGTGAGGTCAAACATTTTCTCTTAATCTCCTAATGTTCACTGGATATTAAGTTTTTCTTCCTTTTTTCTTTCTCTCCCTTGTTCTTTTTCTCTTCCCTTCCTTGCTTTTCTGCAGTCCTGAGGACTTGACCCAGAGCCCGTGCACACTGGCAATCATTTTAGCACTGAGCTACATCCCTGGCCTTTTTATTGATACAGGGTCTTCTATGCTGTCCAGGTTTGCTTTAAACTTATAAGCTCCTGCCTAAGCCTCTGACGTAGCTGGATGACAGATGTGCACTAGTGTGTATGGCTATTTTATTCCTTTATAAGACACAAGAGTGGAGTTTTAGTTGTGTGTAATGTTGCAGATATAGAACAAGGAACTCAAAAAACACATCCCCTGCAATCACTACAGGATTATATCCTAGCAGCAGGGTCACATCAATGATGAACCTTACCCAAATGGCAGTTTACTTTTAACTCTATCTACCAGCATATAAAAAAGTTCTGTTATTAGTCATCAGAGAAATGGAAATTAAAATTCAGTACAGCCAGAATGACTGAAAAAAAAAACCACAGGTGAAGTCTATAGAGCAACTGAAACACTCCCGCCCTACTGGAGGAACTGCCCTGACTACCTGGGAAAACTATTTGGTAGTATCAACTACACCTGGGTATGTGTAGATGACTTGAACAGGTCGGGTCATACTATACTCTAAGTCACTTCCTGCATAGCGTACTGCCTTGGTGCACATTCTCCCACCTGCATTCTTTATGAAGTGAATGGAGAATAACTGCCATGTTTGTATCCTCTTAAAGACTGAATAAGTAAGACCAGGTGTAACACGGCATGCTTGTAATTCTAGCTACTCAGGAAGACTTCACGCTCAAGGCCAGGTTAGAAGAATAAATAAATGAACAGATGACTATGTGCATTGCTACCATTCAAGAATTCTAGTCCTAAGTATACCCTAAATAGAAACGCGCATTTATCCTACAAAAGACATACAAATATGATATAGCTAAACTAAGTGTGGTGGTGCATGCCTGTACCCAGCACTCTGAGAGGCTGAGGCAGAAAGATTCCAGGTTCAAGTCCAGCCTTGGCAACTTAGTGACTTAGTCAAACTCCATCAAAGCAAAAAACGAATAAAAGGGCATGGGATGTAGCGTGAAGCCTCTGGGTTCAATCCTCAGAACTCGAAATAAAATTGTAGATGACTGATAAATTTCATTGTACTAATATTCAATGACTTCTTTGACTATGAAAATTTTCCAATACTCAGTAATGCAAAACAAAGCAAAAAAACCCAATATAACTCAAACTGGAAATAACATAAAAACCTACTATATGATTCCATTTTAAAAAGTTCACAACAAGTAAAACTAATCTTCAGCAGGATTAGTAAGGGTAGCAGACCTGTTTGAGAAGATACTACTTTCCCAAGTGGCAAGAGGGATTTGTTTCTGGTCCAGGGGCTGCTCACACTAATGTATTCACCTTTTATTAAAACACACCTACTTATACTCTATGATACATGGATTTTTCAGAGCTATCTCCTGTCCAATAAAAATTTCTCTAAAAATAATATACAGAAATCATCTTCTTTCTTTGAATATGCTTAACTCACTCCAATAACATTAGTATTTTACAAACTGAGGCCTACGGATCTCAACATTTTGAGCAGGTACACACACACCCCTAATGAACATAAGAAACTCCAGAAAAACAAGCAAGTTAACAATAGCTTTTATACTTGTGTTGCCTGATATGGTAGCCACTAGCCACAGTTGGCTGCCAAAACTTTGGACTAGTTAATATGAATTTAGAAATATCACATCTATAAAAATCACACCAGATTTCAAAGTTTGAAACAAAAAAGAAATGCAAAATATCAATGAATTTTATATTAATTTAATATTCAAATGTTTTTGTTAAGTTAGAGAAAGCAATCTTTTTATCCTTCAGTTTTGTTTTCATTTCATACAAACAGTTATAAAAGTCTATGGTTTTAATTTAAGCAATTACCGTGTGACAATATGGGTCACCAAATATTCTTTCAAAAACTTCTTCTGCTTCCTTAAAACTGCCATGTTCCATACAAACAGCTATGGCCTTAAAGACAAAAGACAAATACATAGCTTAGATTGTTTTTTAAAACATTTTTTAAAACGTGCAATAACTTATGATGGAAATAAGCCAAATCTGACCATTTAACATATTTTCACATGCCAGGTATGTGATGGCCTATAATCCAGCACTCTGGCATGTGATGGCCTATAATCCAGCTCTCTGAAAGGCTGGCAGGAGAAAGCCAAGTTTGAGCCCAACATGAGCAATTTAATGATTAATTAGATCCTGTCCCAAAAGGTGCTAGGGATGTAGCTCAGGGTTCAATACTCCATACTGCCAAAAAACTCTTATGATCTTAATAATTTTTATTTGATAAGTTTTTCAAAGATGCCCTATCTGTGGTTTGACAAGACACAAAAATGAATTACAAAAAATTTCACTGGTCCTGAGAATATTTACTAGTAAATGTTCAGCATTCTACTTCTAATTTAGGCATTAATAAATCAGAAGCTAAGTGACAGATATTCTGGATTTGCTTAAATATGGTAAAGCCTTGACTTACAAACATTTAGGCTGCAAATTTTCACAGATACAATGAAACTTCCATTTGGTTTTTTAATGCTTTACACGATATATAGTATTAAAGATGTAGTCTAAGACTTCGTCAGACTTATGAACAAATCTGAATTATGAACATTCTTGTGGAATAAAACTTGTTCTCCTAAGTCAGAGCTTACTACAATAATTTTCAGTGAAAGACAAATCAGAGGACACAGATGCCTCTTATGATGGTAAAATTCACCAGTCAGAATCCCTAGAAATCTAGAAGCAAGTCAGATACTCCTGAATGACCATTTCACACACTGGCCTTTCTGATATCACAATGCATTAAGATATGGAATGACTATTACTATCTGAGTAGGTACATAAACTTGCAGGCTACTTAAACCTCTTGATGTCTCAATTTTCTTATACATAAAAAAATTGGAAATAATAGTATAACTCTTTACAGAACTGTTAGGCAGATTAAAGTTACACAAAGTACTTAGAGTAGTGCATGGAAAATAGTAAGCAATGCATGCACTAAATAGTTGTTACATACTTTATTTTTTACAACTCAACTTTACAGCAGCAGGGTAATGAAGGTCAGGTTTCTCTAGAGCCCCAAATGACTGGGCAAAATGAAAAACTTTTGTCCTGAGTTGAATTCTAATACAAAGCAGTCATTTTTATGCTCACTTGCTTCTCTTCAGGTCTCAATTCCACTTGACAGTCATTACACTAATTTTTGGGAAGGCCGGATATCAACTGGCTTTTCTGTCTTTGCTCATAAATTAATTTTTAATTCTAAAAACTTGAGGAAAAGTTTAACTGAGAAAAGCCCAGTATTAGTTTTGATTGCTAGCAAAACATTTTTATTACATCTTTCAATGACTTCTCAATCTACTAAAATTCTCTCCACATGGTTAACATTTTGTATCTCTTGCTCACCAAGACCAATAATCTATCACTCATTAGAAACACTGCCCTAATAAGTGCCTGCCTGGCAAGCACAAGGTCATGAGTTCAATCCCCAGTACCAAAAAACAAACAAAAATAAAATAAAATAAAATGCGGAAATAGATTTACTTAAAAAAAAAAAAGAAAAGAAAAAGAAAAAAAAGAAACAAACACTGGCCTAGGGTGTATCTCAGTGATACAGCACGGGGTGGTTGGAGCAGTGCATGAGCTGGGATTGGTGGGAAACACTTCTAGGTGCGTCCTGAAGCTATGGTGTTGGGGTCTATGTCTAGTCGCTTGTCCCTCCTTCTCTAGCACTATTCCTGGCTTTGCTTCCTGGCCACCATAACTAGGCAGCTTTCCTCCACCACACCTGTGCACCATGTTTCTGCTGTGGAGCCAGCTGACCATACACTGACTCTCCTTGAGAAGCGAGCCAAATTAAATCTACCTTCCTTTAAATTGTAGATGTAGGGGCTGGGGATTTAGCTCAGTGGTGTAAGTGCCTGACTGGCAAGCTCGAGATCATCAGTTCAATTCCCAGTACCAAAAAACAAAACAAAACCAAAACTACCCTAAACTGTGCATGTGGGGTATTTTGCCCATCCTGGGAAAGCTAACTACCACAAAGCATATGCTTAGAGACCCTGGATTCCAACCCTAGCATAGCACCAAGTAACTCACAAACAAAAATATCATTTTTATATGAATAATCCTTAAATTGAAATCAGGAGAGCAAAAATCTCTGGTTTTTGAAGGTTGCTTGGTAATTGTTAAATAGAACCAGTATCCTGTATTTCCTGCAAGACAGGGTTAACATTCACACAAGTATGGAATAAAGTACTAAGTTGTAGGCCTGGACCTTATGTCAAGACTACGAATAAAAAGTCAAATTTCTAAAGAAAAAAAGACTATTAAAATTTTTACTCTGTATTTACTGTCCAATTTCCATTACATTCCTTTTACTTTGGATGGTATATATTTTTCATGCTTTAGCACAAAGCAACAACCATACCTGAATTTTAATTAAGTTCTGTATTTCTTCATGAAGTTTGTCATGTTGTTTTTCAACTGAAGCCCAAATCATCAGGGCTGATTCCAACGGTGTAATTCGTTCATCACTTTCGAATTGTGCATCTTTTAAAAACAACAAAAACAAAAGTAACTTAGACAGCTAAGTAGAACCTTACAATGTTAAGTTTTTCAAAAGTATATCCCTTTCAGTATTTATTGAGCTGTATATTATGCACTGATCAAAAATATGGTGAATGTTTAAAATAAAATAAAAAAAAAGACATATTGCTATTTATCCCTCTAAATAGCCTTCCTTGCTTTGTTAAAAACATTTATCACTCTTGATACTGTCTGAGGCAGTTCTGGAGACTATTTTTCTGACTGTCCTGACTATTTTCATATCCCAAATGAAATCAACACATTCTCTTATGCAGTCATTTTGACTTTGTGGACAAGGCAGATATTGTATAATATCAGACTCAGTGAAATAAAGTAGATGAAAACATAAGCCTGACTTTCCATTTGATGATACCTGGCAGCAAGATTCACTGTATTTTTAACAGTACTTCACAAAGACACAAAACAGGATTTCCAGAACTGCTTCAAAAGATAGCAAGGACACTGGGGCATGTTCAAAATGAGGGGGAGTATTTTGAGAGGGATTAATGGCAATGTGTCTTTTATCATATAAAGCTGTTTTAAAAATTTAAACACAGGGGCCAGGATATAGATCAGCATCCCAGTGTCTGCTTGGCAGGCACAAGGTCTTGAGTCTGATTTCCAGCACTCTAACAAAACAATACCAATAAAAACCATAAACTGTATCTTTTGATCAGTCCTTGTAAGAGCCAGACGTTGTTCTCATACATGCCAGGTTAGGGAAGTGGTTTTCTAATTTTCTCATTAAGATCAATTTCATAATTGGGAGGGGATACATACAACTCAAGGCTATTCTTCATTAAAATACTGAGTTGCTAGTCTTCGTGTTTTTCCCAAAGGGGTTTAATAAGGGCTCACACATACTAGGCAAGCACACTACCACTGAGCTAGATCTTCAGCCCCAAAATATTGATTTTATTTTCTCCAGCATTTTTGAGAGTCTCAAGGTAGTCTAGGATGGCCTTGAGCTTACAATCTTCTTGTCTAAGATTGCTGGGTACTGGAATTAGACATGTGCCAGCACATGTGGCTCCTAAAATAATTTTAAGGGGTAAAAGAAACTACATTTATCATTACTCATTAGAGAAATGCAAATTAAAACCTCACTGAGATTCCATCTCACTCCTGAAAGAATGGCCAGGATCAAGAAAACCAACAACAACAAATGCTGGAGAGGCTGTGGGGAAAAAGGAACTCTCCTGCACTGTTGGTGGGAGTGCAACCATTGTGGAGGTCAGTCTGGAGATTTCTCAAAAAGCTGGGATTGGAAGCCCCATTTGTTCCAGCTATTCCACTTGTAGGCATATTCCCAGAAGAACTGAAAACATCATACCACAGTGATATATGTGCACCAATGTTTATAGCAGCACAATTTGTAATCGCCAGATCTTGGAAACAACCTAAGTGTCCATTAACTGAGGAATGGATAAAAAAGTTGTGGTGGTATTTTTATACAATGGAATACTACTCAGCTGTAAAGAAGGATCACATTGAAAAATTTATAAACAAATGGGCGCAGCTTGAGACCATACTCATGAGTGAAATAAATCAAACTCACATGTATGAATACCGAATAGTTTCCCTAGTGTAAAAAATGATACAAATACAATAAAAGTATGTGGTGGCTTGAAGCCTTATAAAGTTTTCACTTGTTAATTGGAATGGTTTTATTCTGGGCTGTTTGATACTATTTTCAGTGATATGAACAGCTATTTTGAAGAAAACAAGACATCATAATAGCTAGTGCTGATTTAATATCAGCTTGTTGTCTTTTTTGTCTTTTTCCTTTTTATTGGTACTGGGGATCGAACTCACGACTGCCTGCTTGCAAGGCAGGCGCTTATGCTGCTGAGCTAAATCCCCAGCCCCCAATATCATAAGTTTTTGTTGGATCACTGAACACAACTGTTTGCAGTCTTACTGTTTGAATGTCCACTTTGTATGCTTAATTTTGTAATTTAATCAACTATTTCTAAGATGGCAATATGTAATGTACTAACTAGTGATTTCTTACTGTTTATTTTTTTGAAATTCTGTATTACTTGTACCCTTTTACTGTTTTTTCCTTTAAATAAAAAAAAATTTAAAAAGAAACTACATTTTACATATAGTATCACAGTAATAGAATTCTTAGTTTAACCTTGACTGCATTATACTAAATCTCAAGATAGACCCTCAGTTTCTTAACTTATAAACTGACTAAAATAATTTTATAGGACCTTGAAGAATACTTAATGTAATTAATGGTTGTACTATTGCTACACTTTCCTAAGACAAAATTTTGGTCAGGTTATCCTGAACAAAGCTTGTAACTAAGTAGTCAACTACACATTTAACTCAATTCAGCACTTCACTAATCTATGCATGTCTTCCATGTCTTATAATCTACAATCTAAGCAAAAAAATGTTTGGTAGTCACATGTACAAGCTCTTGCCTAAAAAACCACATGCATCTCAAGAAATAAAACAAAGTACCCTTTCTTGTAATGCTTATATACTACCAGGAGACACGCAATATATTAGTAAATAGTAAGGGGTATAAAGAAGAACAAGGGTACTAGTAATCAAGAACGGTACAGTCATAGAAAAATTCTTTTAAGCAGTGTAGTTTGAAACTGCCTCTCTGAGCAAATGATAGGGGAGTCAAGACTGACACAACACAACATGAAGTAGAATAGTTACACAAGATTTAAACAAGAAATATTCCAAAAGGGACAGTAGGGTTAGTGTTCAGAGTACACAGTTAGATGTTCATCATTTAATCATAGATGAGGTAAGCAGTTGTCCAATTTGAATTTTGAGTATAGAACAAGACTCACACTAATGGATTAAATGTGGAGTGTGAGAAAAAAATAGAAAATTTAGTTCTTAATAAATGGGTTAAGTGATGCTGACATTTATTCACACAGGAAGTCTAGGTGAAGAGTAAGTTTAAGATAAACATGAAGAAATCAAGAAATCTATAGCAACCTGTGATTTGCCAAATGATGAAGTTTTTGTTTTGTCTAGAATATTATTTTTATACTCTTTCTGAAAAACTGAAGCAACTCTTCTAGGCGATGTATAAAATCTATTTCCTCAAGTGCTTTCCTTACTCCAGCTATAAAGTATGAACTTTCTCAGCCCCATCCCCTTACATCTTTTTTCAGTACTAGGGATTGAACCCATGGCTTCTGCAGTAAACTCCATTTCTGGCCCTTTTATTTATTTCATGAGTTTTAAGTTGCTCAGGCGGACTCAAACTTGTGTACCTTGTGCTTCAGTCTCCCAGAGTGTAGCGACTACAGCTATGTGCCACCACACTCAGCTAAAAATTCATTTCAATATTTGTCCTTCTTAATATATACATTTTTAACTGATATTACTTAATCCTGCTCAATAATTTGCTTCCCACCTTACAAATATAAAATATGGAAAAATGTTAGAGCTTAACTTCAAAAATTTAACCATTTTGCCATTCACTTCTAGTGGCTTTTAAGTGTTACAGTTTGTGTCTGATGTGCTCCCAAAGCCCCATGCAGTCATGGGGGCAGGTTTCTATAGTTTGTTCATAGTCCATTGCTGGGATTATGGGTGTGAGTGCTATACCCGCCGGGGTAGGCAGCCTGCATACAATATAAGGGACAGAAAAGTCTTCTCGCTCTCCTTCCCTTTTTGCTTTCTGTTGCCTTCTGCCACTATCAACTGATGCCCCTCTGCCATGGCACCCTGCCTTGGAGCCAGCTGATTATGGACTGAAACCTCCACAACCTGTGAGCTAAATGAACCTTTCTTTTCTTAATTTTGGATGTCTGGTACTTTGTCCCAGCAATGAGAAAAAAGTAACTAACTCAATAGGATAGTGTTGAATTTGTCCACTGCAACTAAAACAAAGGTGAATAAATTATACTATGGGATACCTGCAGGAACAATGAAAATGAGATGAACTAAAATTCCAAGGTGACAGAGAATCCTTTCTGAGGTGAGCTGATGATTTAATTTGTTTTTTTTTTTTCCTTAACTGATTTGTCCATTTTGGATAGGGCACAGAATTCAGTATACTCTAGAAGCAGGACTTTTCAGAGCAAGGCAGAGAAATAAAGGCTCTTGGTAGTTTCTTTGGGGCTGGTGTGATAAACTAGAAACTAGATAAACTGTCAACACATGACTGGCCTTTTCTCATAAGACATCTGTTGAGTTCTGGGATAGTGTAGGAGGCTGGGAAATCTCTCAATCTTACAGATATGGATCTTAAGAAATAAAGACCCATGAGGAGAGAAAGTCTGCCATAAACAAAAATTTCCTGTTTGAGAGACATTTGCAGTATTTTAAAGCTATGTGGGGTAAATGAAAACCAATATAGTAAACACTAGTCATATATAATTACTGAGTAGTTAAAATGTGGCTAATCCAAATTGAGATGGCTGTAAGTACAATATACATACCAAATTTATCATAAAGACTTACCACAAAAAGTAAAATTATCTCATTTTCATGGATTACTTGTTGACATGTTGTAGGAATATTAGATTAAATATGATTAAAGTTAACTTCACGTTTCTTAACATACCTATTTAAGTTACATATCTGGCTTACATCTGTTGAGTAGTACTAACATACAGCAACCACTAAAAACAGTATTATAGTTTTCATATACCAAAAATCCTTTAAATGTTTCTTCATGTGAGTCCATTATAATGAAATATACTGATCCATGACAGCTGATCCTGGCCATTAAACCTAGGATACATGACCAAAGGAAATCCTAGCCAGGCCTAATGGTACATGCTTGCAATCCCAGCAACTGGAAGGCTGAAGCAGCCGGATTAAGGCCAATTTAAGAACTTCGTTAACAATGCTATTTTATGGTTTGCAAGGTCTGGAATTTTTCAGTTGTGTGTATATCAGCCTGTTTTTCTCTGCAGCAGTTGGCTTTGATATGTCCGGTCTCTTTCATATCTACTCTGCTTTCCCCAGATTCCCTAATACCAACTCTCCAAACTTAATCTCAATCCCTAAACAAAGCAGGCTACATGAGCCAGAGATCACTTAGTGAGTTCCCTGAAAATGTTACTAATACTTAGGGATTATAGAATGTGTTTTCAAATTGGAGTTTCACATAAATACTATCCAGTACTTAGGACTTCTGGGAAAGCATTTTTAAATTATAAAAACCAATTATTTGTACCAATTTGTACTGTAAATGACCATGCTATAAATAAAATGAGCCAAAATTGCTAATTTTAATCTAATATGAACCATGAAAAAAAAGGAGAGAGATTGTCGCTATAAACTGTTTCTTTTTATAAGTAAGTGTCTACATCAAGTTTAAATAAAATATTTCAAGTATCAGTTGGACATGGTGGCATAAACCTGTAATACCATACTTTCAGATGCTCAGGCAATAGTATCACAAGTTATAGCTAGGGAGACCCTGCCTCAAAAGAAAAATAAAAAGGAGACGAAGGTCTTGAATTCAATCCCCAGTACTGCAGAAAGTTTCAAATATCATAGTGACTAGTAAAAATAGCATATAATGAGCATAAGCACAAAGTTACACAATAAAATTAAAAGTGAAATCTGTGAGTCCACAAAATAGTTCTACTACAGCACCAGAAACACTTCAGATCCTATAGAAATGTAAGTTCCAGAGGTCCATACCCATCTTATAGATTATGAAACTATAGGGAGAGCACGATTCAGCACTGTTGTCTAAGAGGCTCTGCAAGTAATTCTATAGCAGACTAAAATTTGAGAACCACTGCTCCAAGAAGACAGACACTATTTCATTTATAGTAACATGGTAGATTTTGAGTAACTTGTTCTGCAAGTGTTCCACAAGATAAGCAAAAATTTATAATAAATTTTATCTTGTAAAAGGAGCAATGTCTTGCAATATTAGTATGTGATGACGAATGTTATGTGATCACAACTAAGTCAGTGGTTCTCTTTCCCTTCTCATTTGCTTGCTTTTATTGTGCTGATCTCCCAACACCAAGAGGTCATAGAGAGCTCAACTGCAGAGTAGAAGACAGGGATCCCCGACTTCGAATGAGATTAAGGAGATGTGTAAAATGTGGGAAACAGTACAGAAATATGTAGAAAAGGACCACATGAATAAAGCTGTAGCAGTGCAAGCAATGGCTCTTAAACAACGCAGTGTCACATTGCTGTGAAACTCTCAAAAGGACACAAAAGCAAGTGACACTGCATAGGTTCTTCATTAAAGTCACACGACAAGAAAAACATTCCACTGAGTCAACAGATAGCAAAAATTCTCTTAAGGTTACGGAAAGTCGTTCTATACAATAATCCTCTTCCTTCTTGTCTCTCTCACACCATTCATGAAGGTTTTCAAAGCTAAGTGCAGGTTAACTTATTTGCCCTTTTTTTGAGACAGGGTCTTATTATGCAGTTCAAACTGGCTTTGGAACTATGTAGCTCAGGCTGGCCTTGAACTCCCCTGGCAATCCTTATTCCTCAGTCTCTCCAGTGCTACAATTACAGGTGTGCATGTTTATTTTTCTTTATATTTTGCATTTTCTCTATTATTTTGTATTATATTAGATTTTTATATGAATATTTTTGGGTCATGGAATAAATCAACTGGATTTTCATTATTTCTTATAGAGAAATCCACTTTGGTAAACAGGTGCACTGAATTACAAGCATGTTTCTAGAAAGAACTATGCTAAATGTTTTATCGTACATATTTAAATAGACATGTGTGCTCGTATTCACTGGCCAGATCCCTATAAGTAAACTCTGAAGAAGTTTCCAGTATTCCTTCTCATTGTCTTATATTTGAACATAAACTATTTCCAGTTGAAGATTAGAATATATATTTACCAAGGGATTTTCCTGCTGCAATTCTTGTCAAAAACTGGCATATGTATACAGTTCTCAACTGATCAGATGTAAGACTAGGCAGTCCATGAATAACAGCTGAAAAAGAAAAAAGTAAATTTTATTAAGATAAAACCAAACAATGCAGTAGTGGCATTACATGTCGTTAATTAACAGATTACAAACATCTCATCAAAATTACAATAAATTTACAGAGCTGCATGTTCTAGTTATTTAGTTAACTTTAAAAAGCCAAACAAAAGTGGAGGCTGTAGGTACACAACTGAAAGCCCAGTGCTCTGGGATGGTGAGGCAAGAGGATCACCTGCTAGGATCTAGCCTGGGCAACTTTGCAACTGTCTCAAAAAGTGAAAAGATTGGTGATGTGCAAAGGTCCAGAGTTCCATCCCCAGTATCATAAACAAATCATAACATAAACAGCTGCCTCAAAAGTCTACAACTTAAGAATATTCAAATTGTGAACTTTCACAGATACAATACAACTTGCATTTAGTTTTTCATGCTTTACACTGTATATTTGCACCTGTTTATCACAGTGGATTTCTCTATAAGAATATTTGTCAAAGGTGCACATTACTCACTTTCTCAGATTTCCGAATAAATCTGACTTATAAAAGTTCCCCCAACATGGAATTTTTTCATAAGCTGGCGACTTAATAACTCACATGCAGGGTAACAAATATTTAAAATTATTTTCCTCTGAGTTGCTCTAGTGTGATAAAAAAAAATTATTTTCCAAGTATTACAGTATACTAGCAAGAAAGATTTATATCTGTTATTTTATACCATGAAATTCCTTATATTACAGGAAATGTTATATTATTTCTGTCAAAATTTCAGTTATGTGATTTTGTTCAGTTCACAAAGCTGTATTTTAAAAGTGTACTAATACTTACTTCACAAATATTTGCCTATCTAGGTGTTACACCAGGCAGTGGATACATACGATGTTGAGGAAACTGAATCCCAGAAAAACTACACCCCCAGATTTCAGTGAGCTAGCTCATCAAAAGACAAATAACTAGACTACTAAAATAAAAATGTCAAACTGAAAAAGACAAGTACAGAATGCTAGGGCAACAAATCACAAAAAAACCTTAAAATGTATTTGTTTCTTTTTGGGGAAAGAATTGTCAGGAAAAGTTTACCAGAGGAAATATTATAATGTCTAAAATACAATACCTTTATTATACTTTACTGCAGATTTGGTTGGTATTTATATGTACAAGTGTACATATGTATAAGTGTGTGCATGTATTATAGCATAAATAACTAGCAAGTCAAGAAGCAGTTCTGTGGTCATCAAGCAGACAAAACAATACTCTCTTTTCTCAATTCTACAATGGCATAATCTCATGATGTGACAGAGATTATGTGGGAAAAAACCCCACATATACATATACATGTGGCACTGGGGATCAACCCAGAGCCTAATATGTACAAGGCAAGAACTCCACCACTGAGCCACATTCCCAGCCCAAGTAGTATCTATTTATTTATCTTTGTCTTTTTGAGACCGGGTCTTGCTATGCCATTTATGTTGACGTTGAGCTCACTCTCAATCCTGCTTAGGGTCCTGAGTGCTGGGATTACAGGCATGCATCACACATCTGGCTCCAAATAGTTTTTAAGAGAACAGATTTATAAGCAATGTATACAAGTGACTAAACATTTACTGAACATCTACTGCTAGACTGTCCTAGCAGCTGATAACCAAGGGATAAGACAGCCGGTCCCTGACCCTTACAAAGTGTTTTTAGAGAAGATACAAATTAGTTATGCAAGTAACTAAAATTTTATTCCTTTTTTTGGGAGGGAGTACTGTGAATCAAACTCAGGACTTACACTTGCAGGCAGGTGCTTACGTAGTGACTACAATTTTAATGAGTGCCACAAAGGATAGGTATAGTCAGTCCTCTGCATCCATGGGATTCTGTACCTGCAAATTCAACCAGGTATTTTTGAAGCTCAAAAATGTTTTAAACAATAATTACACTTGTGCTTAACATCCAGTAATTTTTATACCTGTAGGGACCCAGACACAATATAATAATTATCTATGTAACACTTCACATTGTATTAGATATTATCAATAATCAAGAGATGATTTAGAGTCTGGGGGAATGCAGAGGTTATATGCAAACACTAGGCCATTTTTACAAGGGACCTGAACCTCCAGTTTCTGTTACAGGTGGTGGTGGGGGCACAGACCCAGTCCCAGACCAATGGAGGACAGAAGAGTAGTTTGGAATTATTTATTCAATCATCTATTTACATCAGTGAGGACTTTTTCTTTTTTTTGCACCTCCTTACTTTCTGGAACTAAACAGTTTTGGGTCAGCTTATGTACGCTCCATCTGAGCCCCAGAATCAGTCATTTTCTGAAGAGCCCTGCTTCCCATGGTAGAAGAATGGTGTCAAGAGACCAAAATCTGGGTGCTTGGTATACTTGTGCACCTAGGCATGCTTCTATGCCCTTTCATCTGACAGAGCAAGTAAATACATGGGTGCACATCAGCCCAAGTCGACACACAGTCTAAAAATATGTTTACTCTTGTGCTATAGTTTGGATCCAGAATGTCCTCCAAAGATTCATATGGTAGAGGCTGGGACCTCAGCTTAGTACCAATGAAGTGAGGTAGGATTAAAAAAAATAAAGATAGGCAGGAGACAAGGAAAACTGGAATTTTAACACTATGTTTTAAAAAAAACTACAGCTTATTAACAAAGGTTAATCAAAACCAGCTTAAATTTTTTTCTCTTTCATCCAGATGCAGTAAGCCTGGGCAAGTCCCCTGTATCTGCGAATTGACCTTTTTCACACATGACTAGATCATCTCTTTCTACCTGAAAATCCTACTTCCTCCATCCTTAAGGAAGGAGCAGTATTAGTGGGCAGCAGATCTCAAATTCAAACACCTGTAAACAGTCTGCAATCTAATATCAACTCCAACAGATGGGTAACTGGACAGACAGTAGAACTGTACATCCTAGATCACTCAATGTGATATACCCCACAGTACACCCATCTCTATGGATCACCAGATGATTCTCTAGGGCCTACATTATTTCTCTGAATGTCTACTTTTACATTTAAATATCTAATAAATCCCTTCACATCTCTTAGATGTGTCCTGAAAAATTTACCCCCCCAGAAGGAAAGTCAGTGAATCTGCAACTTAATTCCAAGTTACGAGGTGAGTTTAGGAAGCTCCTAGAACCCTGTCTGATGACAGGGAGGTTGTGGAACTTTACAGTGTGGAGCCTAGTGGGAGGTTTTAGATCACTAGAGACATGCCCTGGAAGGGATCTTGGGACATCTACCCCCAGCCCTACATAGATTCTGTTAGAGGTTGAGGTGAGTGGTTATGCTTTAACTTTAACACATGCTCCTGACCTACTGTGCTGTCTTGCCCCAGGCCCCCAAACAAGGGGACAAACAAGGAGCTGAAACTTCCAAAACGGCCCCCAAATAAAGTGTTTGCTTTATAAACTGATTATCTTTTGTCACAGCAACACAAAGCTGATTAACACATCTTCTTATTATTAAATAATTTATACTTGTTGTAGTTTGGCATAACTGACGCCATCTTAGGGGAGCTCTGCATTTAACGAGTATCCTGTATTTGACTCAAGAGAGTAGACAATTACTCAGTACAATCCCATGAGAAAAGCAGAATGAGCTGCACCCACAGGAGAGAAAAATTAACCTGCTCAACAAAGAAGCAGGATACAGGTATCAAAAATTAGTGTAAGATTTTAGATAAATGGTTTCCAACAGGATGTCTTTTTGTGGATCTCTGTTTTAAAAGCTTTGTAACTTTCCAGTTCAGTACCACTCCATGGGGCTCTGAAACAGGGGTCTCTATATGAGTGGTAGCTGAGCTCAGCTAACTAAATTTCAAATTTATCAGTTAGACTGCTTGGATTTCTATACTGTTGATGAACTCACTTCAATACTGATGTCTCCAACTCTAACTCATTACCATATCATTTTGTTACAGGCAGTTGAGCTAGTTAGAAATACTATAAGCAGTCAGAGGCCCTCAAGGAAGCCAGCACAGAGGACCAAATGTCTTGTAACCTTGGAGGAGACACATACCTCTTGCTGTGGGCCAGATCTCAAGACAGAAGCCAAAACAAATGCAACCACACTCTAGGTATAAACCTTAGGGATCAGGTATGGATCACCTTGAGAAGCCAGGAGTCACATCCCAATTCCCTACAGGAAGAACTTGATCCACTGATCCGTAAGAATGTTCCCTTGCTATGTGACACCCTTCCCCACTTGTCCCTAATTTAGTCAATTCTATCTGAACAATTAAACTTACTGGTTATAGCTCTGTCCCTTCTTATGCAAGTTCTCAGTTTTCCCTCTTAGACTCTCCTCACCTCATGGTTTTACTCTGTAAAAATCCTTAGTAGAGATAAACTTTTGGCAACCCATTCAGGCCCAGTCTGTCTCTCTCTGAGACAGAAGCTTTCTTTCTCTCAAAAAATATTTCTGCTCTTAACCCTAGCTATTCCTGAAATTCATTCTTCAATTTTAGAGAATACGAATTCATACCAGACATATAGTGGGTCAGGACTTTCTTCCCCTTTGTCAGCTACATTGTTATTTAGGTATACAAAGAAAAGGTCTTTAAGTTGCAATAAAAGCATGAGTCTGAAATTATGTATTTCTAGTTAACTACTTCACTCCTCTGTAATGTTGGAGCACAGTTATAGTGTAGAAACACATTCATGTAAACTTATAGATACTTAACTCCAATCAAGTTGCTGTTCCACTGTCTCTGGTAAATTCAGTTGACTCTGACAAAGTCCCACCAACTGCCTACACCGTAAGGCACTTGGGGCTGACCAGCGCTCTCGCCCAAACATCCCTGTATTATGGTAATGTCCTTACTTATTCACATTCAGTCAAGGCTTTCTTCTCTCCTGAACCATTCCTATATTATGGTAAAGTCCTTACCTATACTTTATTCAGTAAGAGAATCTTCCCCTGGTTCCTGGAATGTTTCTATTGTTTCAAGACTAGCCAGGATGTCAATACAGGATTCAGTGTATGTAACCGAGTTTTGATCACTTGCTTTGTACCCCCTACTAAACTCCTTCCGGATTCAGGGTGGCTGCTTGAGAGGAATTTACCCTGCAACAGCCCAATGGTGTGAATATTAAATGCTGCTTTCTTAGCTCCTCGATGTAAGAGTCTTCGGTTTGGTTTGGTTTCAGAAATTTCCCGCAACAGTAATATTACTTGCTGAACTCACCAGATTATCATGAAAATGCAAGGCATCAATACAATTCATTGAGGATTTTCTGTAAACACAAGATTTATACTACAAATATCCATTTACACAGTAAGTTAAATGTCAACTCTGAATAAAATACCAAAGCATTTTCCTGTTACTTTTCAAAAAGCTGTTCTAAAATCCCAGCGTTCTGGAAGGCTCAGAAAGGAGCATCTCAAATTCAAGTGCCCCCTGGGTAGTTTGATAAGACCCTGACTGGGGAAAAAAAACCGCAGCAAAGTGGTCCACACCTGTAATCCCAGCATTCAGGAGGCTGAGGCATAAAGAGCAAATCGAGATAGTCAGCCTGAACTAAAATTAGCCTGACCCTGTCTCAAGACCACCACCAACACACACACACACACACACACACACACACACACAAAAGATTAAATGGGGGTGGGACATAACTTTACACAGGAGCCCAGGATTTAATTCTCAGAACCTCAAGGACAAACAATGACAGCAAAAATACTGTGTGTTAATCTTCCCATTGGGTCTATTTTTTTGTCCATTATTTACAGGTTTTCTACGCTGCAGATTTAATTTTTTTTTTTAATTACGAGAACTATACCTATCAAGCAGGCCACAGATGGTTTAAATCCTCACAAAGTAGCATAGAACAGACTAACGACTGGGGCCATAGACTGCAGAACAAATATAACAGTACCGGTGTGCGGTACTCTGAGGTTGAGGAGAGGTTCTTACATCGAACTCAGCCTGGGCAAGTCAGCGATGTAAGCCGGGTCAAAGAGTGGGGAGGAGCAGAGCTCAGAGCGAGGGCCCCGAGTTCAAGCCCTGTACCTCGAAAACAAAAGCCAAGTTTAAAAACCACCGAAGAAAAGCTCCAACAGCGACGAAACGAACTGCACCCTGGGTTTGGCGCAACTTTGTACACTGACTCGTTTAATGCTTGTGTCCACCGTAACGGGGTCTTATTTTCATTTTACCGAAGAGAAAAGGCATCTGGGCGGAAAACGAGGCTCCGGGCCCACCCGCACTCACCCTCGGCGCTGTCGCGGATGCGATGGAAGTCTTCGGAGCGGCCGTCTCGGAACGCCCGGCACAGGGAGAGGCAGAAGTAGTCCAGCATCCAGCCGGCAGCCACGGCCTCGGCCTTCGCCACCAGGTCCGCGTCCTCCTCCTCTTCCTCAGGGACCCCAAACTCCACCTGGCAATCCAGCAGCTCCTGGCACTGTATCTGCTCCTGCTCGTCCCTGCCCTTTTGCATGAGCTCCGGCTCCGCGGCGTCCGCAGGTTCCCCGTCAGCAAGTCCGCGCGGGACCGGAGACGCCGAGGCGGGCTCCTCCGCCATGTTGAACCTCTCGCGCCTCGTGACGCCCCCGAGCGCGCCGCGCTGTGATTAGCTCCCTGCGGAGAGCGTGAAGCGCGAAGCCGCGGTGTCGCTTCCGCTGGCGGACATTACAGAAAGGGAATGGCCGCGGGGTTGGGCCTGGCTTCTGATTGGCCGAGAATTCCCAGTCAGTCCCTGGCTAGGGTTTGTGGGTGGAGCCTGGGATCCAGAGTTTGGAGGCCTACAGTGACCTGTTGGCGGGCAGTGCGGGTGGATTTGACCTCCTTTTAAAATGCAACCTAGATCGAAACAAGCTTTGTTAAAATGAAAATGCATTTTTCCGGCAGCTACTTCAAAAGGTCATTAGTCATTCTATTGGTCATCTAGTCATTCCAATTCAAATCTGCAGTTTACTAGCGTGTTGTAGGCGGCGAAATTAGAGTTTAGTATATAGTCAGGGAGGGATTGGGCCCTTAAAGAAGTCAGAACAAAAAAATAGACATCAAAGTTGTGGCTGAAGGCGCATCTGAAGGCCAGGCCTCAAAATAAAGATGCAAAATAAAGATGTAATGACCAGGCTTATATGGCCCAAACAACAGCTTGAGATAGTACTGTAACTAGCACCACCTGTCCCAGAAAATCCAGCTAGGCATCAGATGCCCAAGTGGGTGACCAGAACATCTGACTGAAAGAGTTTTGGCCCAGACAGGACACTGTAGCTGGTAAAGCCTCAGGCAGATCCAAGGAGCTCCATCTTCCCCACCCCTAGGAATTTACCTATGGCTCCAAAAGAATACCAATGGGCTGCCTGTGCCTCCCTAATGCCCCCTCAGGCTCCACCCCAAACCTAAGCTACATATATGCCTCCACTCCACGTGTTCCACAGAGAGATCATGGACCCGGGTTGGGAGATGCCACGCCCCAGGGGATTGGGGTTGTCTCTACCGGCATTCTCAAAATAAAGGTCATGTATATTTCATACTTCTTATCTTTTCAGCCGCAGCTGCTGCAGGTCCCCCACAGTTCTATCACTGACCCATCCCTTCTGAAAATTGCTATTGTTCTTTCCATGTATCCTTGCTACGTGACTCATTTTTCTATTGGATCTGTATTGGTGGAATAGCTCTACAATATTTGAAATCTTATAGGTTGATTGTACATTGTACCCATTTTGTGACTTTGCTGTATAAATTAGTCAACAAAGAGCCAACAATGGCCAATCCATTGGGGGATAACTCCTGGAAATCCAGGAGCTATGCTTCCCTTTAGTTCCAATAAAACTCCAAACTTCTTCCTTTGTTTCCTGACTTCATTCCTCATCACATTTGCTATCAGGTCAGGAGTTATATTTCTCTTGTATCAACAGGATCACAAACTAAAACGACTTGAAAGAACTGATATCCTTGCCTTCCACCTCTGACATGCACCACATAATCTGTCCCTAGCCAAATCGAAACACAGGTTTCTGGGTTCCACTACCGGAGTTTCAACTATAGTTGCGTTTAGGGTATACGAATCTAATTAGTAAGTTCTCTGGTAATGCTGAGGCTGCTTATCTGAGATCGCCTTTTGAGAAGTACTGCTTGAGGGCTAGTAGATTACTATGGAAAAGTATGTTAATTGGGTTGTAAGACTGTAGGACAGATAACTGAATACTTACTAATCACTTTGCAGCGCTGGAGATCAGACCTAGAGCCTATGTGTGTGACAGGAAAGCGCTGTAACTAAGAACTAAGCCTCCAGTCTCTGAATGCTTATTTTTAATTTTTAGTCTTACAGGACAAGAGGAGGTTCTAGGTGTGTGAGTATGGGAGGGTTATTGTCTGTTTCTTGATATGGTTTTTAGTTGTTTGTTCACTTTAGGAAAATTCATTGAACATAATGTTTGTACTTTATTGTATTTTGATTTTATCTGTATCTTACTATCTCCTAAGGCAGTAGTGTTTGGTAAGGGTTTAGTTTACTTTAAGAGTTGAAACTAGGGTCTCACATTGCTAAACAAAGGCTCTACTACTGAGCTGAATCCTCAGCCTTTTATTTTAAGATATGGTCTCAATAAGTTGCCTAAATTTGGCCTTGAAATTGAGACCCTCCTGCCACAGTGTTCCAATGGTGAAAGCTAAACAGGCAGAATATGAGTTAATCTGCAGTTACTCTACAGTTACAGTAAACCTAACCTCTTATCCCATCAAGCTTCTTAGAACTGGCATATGTTGAGTGGCCATAACATTCCACACATAACATTCCACACAGGCCAAACTATATGTAAAAGCAAATAATAAGCATACCTTTGATATGGGACACACGTATTTCTTCTTAATGGCATGTGGCATCTTTCTTGCAGTTGATGCGACTTCTATCTCCTATTTTTATATGGATACTAATCCAATTCATGAGGCAAACCTCTCACAATTCAGTGCCTGGGAGGATCTCTAAAAGTATATTGAGTATTAGGCTCTAATACATGGATTGTAGTGGTGGTGGTGGTGGTGGTGGTACGCGTATGTAGAGGGGGCTGGATCAAAGTTCAGCATACACCTAACATTCACAGTGTTCCTAATAGTGCCCAGGAAGTTTACTAAATGTATGTTATGTATTAACATTTAATTTTCACATTTAGTTTAATAAGTAAATATTATTACTAAATTTTTGTACTAGAGGTTAAATCCAGGGGCACTCTACCACTGAACGAATTGCTAGGATGGGATTTGAATTTGTGATTCTCCTACATCAGCCTCTCTCAATGCTGGGATTATAGGTGCTACTGTTAAAGCATTAAAGCCAAAAGCTACTGTATGTATCAACTTTTTGCAGATAAGTTTGTGGATGTAAAAAGTAGGATAGGCAGATCCTCCCACTTAATGACTTAACATGTCATGGCACGTGAAGTTTTTCTTTCTCACAGTAACATCATTTCAGATAAAAAAGAGTAATATTTTATCTTGTTTAAGAGCAGGTTAATCGATCAGTAGAAATTATTATTTTTAATTTGTCATAGTTGCTGGAGCCAACTTAGTTTTCTCATGTCAAGAGACTATGGGTTTTTCATAGAGGAGAATTGTCAAGTTTCAATCAATTAAATCTTTAAGAGGGCCAGTGTTAGCACCCTTTGGGTCTGGTTAGGAGTCTCTGAAACTGACCAGTGTCTCCTAAGATCCACACCATGTTGGAACTTAGGACGCTGGGAAACCAAGCAACCAGCCTGCCTCCCTGCTAAGCATTAGAGAACTTACTGGTGCACGGCCTAGAGTCAAACATCCCACTTACCCTGTCCCCCCTGTTAGCAAATGGGAACCAGAAATCTGAGCATCTCTTAGGAGGTTGACCATAGCAAATAAGGGGGACTTCCTTCTACCATCTCTTTGAAGGCAAATATTTTTATTTCTATTTTGCTTTATTCTGATTAATGGTACTGCTCTAATTCAATATTCTGTTTTGATAAGTTCTATAATATTCTGTATTTCATTTTATTTTTATATACGTGATTGAAAGGACAACTATCGTAAAGATAATGAAATATACTGTGATACCTATTACTGTTATCCTGGTAACCTGCTGTGAAGTTCTGTACCAATTTCACTCAGTTGGCTTTATTCTGTCTTGTTCTGTTGCATTTTACTATTTTCAAAAAAAGAAAAGGAGTCTCTGAAACTGCAGGCAGGAGCTTGGTCGAGTTCAAGGGCCGCTTCATCAGCAAATGAAGGCATAGAGGGTTGCTCCCTGAGCTGTTTCCAGCCCTTGATGTTGTTTGAGGCAGCTGAGCCAGTTAGAAATATTATAGGCAGTCAGACAGGGCTGGGCCCTCAAAGACCAAATGTCTTATGACCTTGGAGTAGACACTTGCTTCTTGCTGTGGGCCAGATCTTATGACAGAAGGCAAAACAAATGCAACCATACCCTTAAGTATGAACTTTAGGGATTAGGTATGGATTACTTTGAGAAGCCGCAGTCACCATCCCAACCCCCTATGGAATCACTGATCCGTAAGAATGCTCCTTTGCTGTGTGACTCACTTCCCCATTTGTCCTTGATTTGGTCTATTTACCTGAATAATTAACCTTATTGGTTGACCATAGCTCTGTCCTATCTCATGCACATCTACCTTGTGAGTTCCCAGTTTTCCCCACTTTAGGCCTGCCTCATCCCGTGATTTTACTCTATAAAAATCCCTAGAAAATACAGAATTCTTAGCAACCCATTTGTGGCCCCTTCTGAGACAAAAGCTTGCTTTCTCTCAGTAAATATTTCTGTTCTTAATCTCTATTGTTCCTAAAATTCATTCTTCAATTTTAGAGAACATGAATTCGTGCTGGGATAGAGTAGGTCAGGAATTTCTTTCCCTTGTATCAATGGGACCCTACCTGCGCATCACAGATCAGAAGAGGGAGTCTGACTGCATTAGTCTACATTCTGCCACTCTTAGCTGTCTGACCTCAGGAAAACTAGGGAGACTTCTTTCTTTCTTTGTAAATGGTCATCACGGAAATTATCTATCAGAGTTGTTATGAAGATTACATGATTTAAAAGCAAGAAAACACTTAGGACAGTTTCTGTCATAAGTGCTCAGTAATATCAACTACCCTTGATTTTCTCTTTTATTATGGTTTTCAAACATTTTTGTACAGAAGCTCTTTGATAACTTTATCTTACTTAACTTTCTTTGAAGGGTCTTATTTTTCCTCAGCAGATTAAATTTCAGGGTTTTGTTTTTCTCCCTCAGGGAAAGGAGGCATGATTTCAATAACAGGTCAGTTCAATCATCAGGAAGTATAATTTCATAATTACTATACTTTTTAACTTCATTAATTTATAATTTAAAAGACTGTCACGTTGGCATACTCCTGAATCCCAAAAACATGGGAGGATAAGGAGAGAAGGATTGTTGAGTTTGAGGTCAGCCTGATTTACATAGTGAGATCCTGTCTATGTAAACAGCAACAACAACAACTGAATCATGAGGCACATACTTAGTATTCTGGCCAAATATTGGGCTAGCATTGTCTTTCTACATTAAGCAGTTTCTTGACCCACCAAACTAAATGAGCTTGTCAGCCCTAGTGATACATACATTTGGCCAGTAGAGGTCACCATGCAACGAAATATTTGATGAAAGGAACTACTACATGGTATAA